TACAATGTTTAAGTGCAGGAGTATTTATTTATATAACATTTATTGATATGATTTATGATGATTTGATTAAAAGAAAATCTTATCCATTTGCTAATATAATTTTGATTTTTGGTGGATTTTTTATCATTGTTTTAACTAGTTTACGGCATGAACATGCGCATTAAAATCTTTTTTCTTTGAACATATTGATGTTTTATTCATAAAAAAAAAAAAAGTAAAATTTTTTTCTTCTCTTTTCAAGTTGTTTGAAGAGGAGAAAGTCATTGTATGTGTGTGGGGTGAGAAAGAAAAAGAAAGAGTGTGCATGTTTATATTAGTGAGAGAAACATAGAGACTGTGTGTGTAGTCATGGCCAATTTACTTCGAAAAGGGTAGAAAAAAGTTTTTTTTGCTAAATTTTATGTATATTTTAAATGAACTATATCTAGAAATCGAACTGAACCAGCTGCACCACCAGCTCCAGCACGTGCGCCACCAGCAGCTACCGGTGGTACTAGTACAAAAAAGCTTGATGATGGAGCATTTACTCCATGGGATTTAGCACAGATTTGGATTGAAAGTGTTTCAAAAGAAGACTCAAGCCGAAAACAATGGGAACAAATGCACAGTTGGATGGCTGAATATGATCCAAAAGTAATTTTAGTTTTTTTATTTATTAAATCATACGAAAAGCGTTGAAATATTTTAGGGAAATCTAAAACCAAGAAAACCTCCATTAGAAAATTCAACACGTTTTTCAAATACGGTTGGGAAAAAAATCTAAATTAAAGTTTTTAATAATTCTTTTGTTTTATGTTTATACAGGTTCCTAATTCTCGTGGTCATGACTATGGTTGGCGTTTACAAACTGGTTCAGGACAAGAAATTCAAAATTTACAAACACGTTTTGATGATCATCATAAAAAACGTGTACCAAAAGAAATACTTGGCTATGATTAAAATAAAAACTTTCTATCTTGTTTGCTTTTGAAGATTTTATTTAAAAAAAACTTTTTTTTTAATAACAGTTCTTAAGAGAAAGAGAGAGATAATTCACTAAAAACCGCTTATTTTTAATGAAGAAATAGAACTATGTACCGCATCTTTTATAGAAATGTTTTTTTTGATAACTTTTAATATGTATTCAGTGTGCATTAAATGATTTAAATAAAAGAAACTCATTCAAATATAAGCTTGTTCATAACTAAATTCATCGATGTTGTTGAAATTTACCAATTTTACAAGTTTATCAGAGCTCAATGTTCAGTCACTGAACATGGAATGAATTATATAATACTTTAGAGAAACAAAATATTCAGTTTTAAAAAAAGGCTTACTACAATGAGAAAAGACAATACATACTATAGCTTTTAGTCTATCAGACGATATATCTTACTGATAATTTGTTGTCTTAATCGAAATATTTCTTTACAGTATTAAGACTAATTACAAACAGTTAAAATTAACTATATCAATAACTGTTTGATAATACTTATTAAAAAAAGGAAATTTCCAAATGTATTTCATTGAGTATTTTAAGTTGATATTCATTGTGTATATATAAATTTCGTTTTATTATTTACATGAGTATGTCAATGAGACATTTAAAAAAACGTAAGTGTGTATGCATAAAATAAACGTTACAATTTTTTTCTCTACGTTTTCATTTTGATTGACGCCGAATGAAAATGCAAATAAAATGTTTTCAATTTTTTCTTTTATACAACATATAAATGAGTTCTAACTGACGAAACATGTAAGAAATTGAATCTGAAGTCTTTTGAAAAATAAAAATAGAATTTATTCAGAAACTTCTTCTTTTTATGTTTACTCTTTTGTCTAGAATGATGGAAAGTACTAATCAAACATTTCTTACAACATTACCTGATGAAAAACAAGCAACATCAATTACACTAAATGATTATGAAGATGATCTTGATATTGATGTTAAATCATCAGCTGATTCAGGAGATACACCCACAGCAAATGATGAAATAGAAGAAATTTTAAATAATAAACAATCACAAGAAATCTCATCTATATTAGTACCAACTACTGTCAATGATAATCTTCAAGATAAAATGTAAGAATTAATTTATTTATGTGTATTTTTTTTCATTCTGAATAATTTACATACTTGTAAAAAAAACAAAACTACAGGTCACATGATGATCCGTCGCCATCAGCCATTAGTGAACATCTACAAGCAATTATTCCACGTTCAATATATGAGTATGCTGCAGTAGTTCATGAAAAATTAGAAAGTCCACGTCAAACTAAACTTGATCATGATGTTAATGCTGTACTTGGATCAAGTGATCCACCACCTGGATTTGGATTTCTACATCCTCGATTTTATTATCTTGAACAGAAGCGTCCTGTTCCTATGGAACCACTTCGGGTCCGTATCTTTTTCATTCTTTATTATTTTTATTTGTCGCCAATGTTAATATGTTGATTGACGGGTTGAGTATAGACATTGTGTTAGTGCAGACAATCAATCGATAGGAAAGGAAAAATCAATTTACATTCGAGTGTAAATTATATGGTAACGACAATCAATAACATACATGCATCGTTCTTTCTGTATTTTTTTCATATATATACAAACATTGAAAAAAAAGTAAGAAAAAAAAAAAAGAAGCAAATAATCTTGATGAAACTCAACATATTTTTGCTTTACTTCTGAAGTTTTTTTCTCTTATAGCATTCATCAGGTGAGAACATTAAAGTTTTATGACATTATCTATGTCAAATCCTTCCTTTTTTTTCTTCTTCTGAACTTTAATTTAAACATTCTTCATGAAAACATTCATAGGTTTTAAAATCTCTCCATGTTGGTTGTAAACCATTCAATAAATGTTTTTGACAATTAACACATTTTTGTCCATGTAATGTTTGATATTTATGTATATATGATAATAATTTAGCTAATGCTTGATCAACTTGCATTGTAAATTGTGCATAATAAACAGCAGCTGCACGTATATGTCCAGCAATTAAATCTAAAGCACGATAATTTGTTGATAATTTATTATTTAAATTATTTGAAAATATTTTTTTTTCATTTAATGGTTTAACAATAACATGTTCAACTGTACAATGTCGAACATATAAATAAATATCTAAACCTGAACGAAATAAACTAAATTCAATAATATGTAAATGATCTGATAAACGTTGTACACTAATTGAATATTCTTTTTGCAATGATTGTTGTTGTTGTGGCTGTGGTTGAGAAGATTCAAATTGTGCAATGACACGATCAATTATTGGTGATGATGGTCCATCAACACGCGAACGAACATTTGAATTTATATTTCGATAATTACTTCGACGATAATGTTGAGTACTTGGATGCATTAATGCAAATATATCAATTAATTTATCAGCCCATTTTACATTCGATGACCATTCATCCATTACTGTACCTTGTTTTTCATAGGATAATTCATTGTAATGATTAATTAATGTTTGCTGACTTTGTAATAATTTAAAATCATATTGATCAAGTAATCCAAATAATTGATCAAGTGATGTACTCATGTCGTATAATTTACGATCAATATTATTTCTTATAGTTGAATTTGTTGAAAGATTTGTTGTTGTTGTGGTTGATGATGATGATGATGATGATACTGTTTGATCATCTGTTTCAATATGTGCTGCTTGTTTTGTCGTATTAAGTAATCCTTGAAGATTTTCACGAAGACGTTGAGTTTGAACAAGACAACGCGCTAAAATATCATCATTTTGACTTTGACGTGCTTGTATATTCATTGTTGGATTAATAGCACCAGGCATCATTTGCGATGTTGTTGTTTGTGGTTGAGTTTGAGTTGGTGGTTGACCTTGATTAGGAGGAGGTGGACCTTGTTGTGCCATAACATTCGGATTATTTAGCATCATTTTGTTTTTTGTTGAATTAGATCTAAAATTTTAAATTTTATAGGTTTGGCGAGGTTATAACGGACACGTTTATTTTACACCAATTCAAGTTCAACAACTTGAAGCTGATCGAGTTATTTCACCGACAAAACCACGTAAATCAATAGTGACACGAACTAGTTCATCATCAGCAAAAAAACCTGAACGATCTCGTACAGTTTTATCAGCATACAGAAATAAAAAATCTTCAGCATATAAAAATCATACAAACAAAGATAAAAATAACAGCGAAAATTCAACAACAAATCGAGGAGCATATATTCGTACAACATCAGATGACGCTCAATTAAGAAATAATACTCTTGCAACATTTCTTGAAGGTGAAGGAAATAAAGTAGAACATAACGGTGAAAATAACGAAGAAAATAAAGAAGAAACAGCAAAAATGTGGCGTTCTGTTGTTACATGTGTACCTGTTCAAATAAAACCAATATCAAAACGAAGTCAATATGCTATTGAAGATTTACAAGCATTACAACAAGAACAATTATTTCAAGATTCAACAGGTTATAATCGACAAGTATTACCAAATATTCGACCAATACCAAAATCAAAATTTGTTTATAAAGGTTTAGCATATAAAGAAGTTCAAAAGATTCCTGGTATTATAGATGATAATAATGATGATCATAATACAGATCTATTTAAAAAACCATTAATTGATTATAATCTTGCTCAAGCTTATGTTCGATATGAAGTTAATGCATCACGAACAAAACAAATTCCCCGACAACCACCATCATCAATAATAACAACAGCAGCAACTTCAAAAATACATATAAAAGATCAACAACTTATGAAAAATCAAACATCACTTGATTTACGTGAAATGAGAAAACGTATTGTTAAAGGTACAACTCTTAGTTATCGTCCTGCACCACAATCAGCATCATGGACACCAGGTCGAGCTGATAATAAATCATCATTAGGCTCCGAGGTACTTTTACCTGCACGTATTGTAAGCACAGTAAATAATGCACCTATATCATCACCACCTCTTGCATTGACATCACCATTACAAAAAAGTACTACTGTTTACACTACGCCTATATTATCACAACATTTTGAACATTCTCCAATAGACAATCTAAATAATATCTCCTTGTTATAGAATACAAATTGTCGTCCATCAACATCAAAATCATCTATTCCACAAAAACAAACAACTGTAGTTGAAATGCCAATTTTAACTAAATATGTTAATCGACCACGAAGTATCACACGTCGAACACCATCACTCGAACTAGTTGCTAATGAACCATAAACGATACATATATATATGAATATGCAAAAAAATCTAGTCAACATCCTATTTCCCAAAAAAAAGAAAGAACAGAAAATAAAAAATCACACCTTTATTTTTTTTTTCGTTTTTTGTTAATCACATAAGAACCAACAAAAAAAAAAGAGAAAGAAATGTGAAGTTTATTTAGATGATTTTACTTTAAGACGCTTAACTGATGTTGTCATAGTATTATCAACTTCTTCTAATGCTGTTTTATTCTTAACAATAGGCGAAACACTAAAACCGTCAATGAACGGTTTAACTAGATGAATTTGTATACGTTGTCGTTGAACATTATTACTATCAACACTGATTTGTACAGTTACTGGATCGAACATATGTATTGTGAGATTATTTATTGTTTGTGTAGCTTCCTAAAATATCAAAGTAGATAGTCAAAAATAAAAGGACTTTAAAATTCTCAAGTGATTTCTTCTCATAGAAAAAAAAAAGGTTGAGAATACGTTTTTATATCAAATTGAATGGAAGCCATGTAAATTTTCAGAAAAATTAAGTTGAAAATAGAATGATTGTTTTTTTATTTTTTCCATCTATTCACTGCTACTCGTCTCAACTAAAACATATAAATACAATAAATTGTAATACAATTCCTTGATTGGAAAACATCTTTATTCAACTAATTTGATTTAGTAAGCTTAGATGATTAATATAAAAATAATTATACATTCAGACTTGTGTTAGCTTCTATCTCTAGATCATTAACTGTAATATAAAAATGCTATTCGCGGAATCCTTGGGGTATTAAAATGTGAAACACGTGTAGCTGCTGTTGCCAATCTCAGGAGGATTGTTTTATTCTATCAATTATGGACACATTTCTTCATTATCTTTTTGCTTAATGCTCGAGAGATACAATAATGAAGTACAGTAGTTCATGTATTATAACAAGAAGTTATTGTGATAACGGGTGATTGACATGTTTTTAAGACAAGATCTTTGTTCACTCATGACCCGCTAGAAAGTGTTTCCGACGAGTCAAAAACTATGAGTTAGAATGCTCTTGTCAAATATTGACTTAGATATTTTGTTTCAGAGTAGTGAAATAATCTTTGAAAAGCTCAAAAAATTAGTTTGAACGGAAAATTTTTGTATTTTCACTATCGTGATTTGGAACTTAAAGTTGAAATCTTTCTTTATATGTCAACTTGTTGATCAGAAGCTACCTTACAAAATGCATTATTTGAAGTTTCTTTTTGTCTTTCGACAAGACACTTTAATTTTCGTTTTTCTTAAATCTCATTTTTAAAAACTCGACAGCTATTTTATGTTGAAAAGAATTCGTGAAAAAATGCTTGTAGTCTCACTTGTCTAAAAGCTACAGCTTAGTTCAATATTACATTTTGAAGAGAAATATCCGCTCTACAAAACGACCGACTTCGATCATTTTTAGCATGTTATAAAAGAGACTTATAGGATAAACAAAAACTTCTTGGCTCTACATTAAAAATTAGAAATAATATTTCTAAGCCTAAATTCAAAATTTAGTAGTAGCGACCTATAGATTTTTGATCTTTGATCGTATGTCAACAAGGTCTATAACAGTCTGTGGGAAGGAACGGTTCAAATTTTCATCCCTATTCTTAGACATTCTTTTTTGATCGTGTGTCACATGATGCTTTGAAGTCTCTCTTCCCTCACGTGTTAAAATCTGTCAGTTACCAGGTATCTGTTTTACTGAGTTTAGCGTGAGATATTTTTACAAAATCGAATATATTAAATATAAGTAAAATTATTTTTTAACACTTGAAAATTTTACCTCTTCATTATAATCTCCCATTGATTTTCCATCTTTATCTCTTAAAAACAATGTTGTTTCTAATCCATAACGAGGTAATAATATTTGTAATGCATTTTTTCGTACAGCAAATACATAACCATCTTCATTAGTATTCATATTTTTGAAGAATAACTATAAAAATAATATTCTCAATAAATTAAGTACCTATATTTCATACAACAAAACATACTTGAGTATGCAAATCTACAGATGCACGTGCTGCATATTGAGCCATACGATGACGATAATTTAAATTATTGCATATTTGTTGTAAAACACGTTTGTTAAGTAAATCAGGAAATGTTGCATCTGCACTAATACCTGCAGCTAATAATCTATGGACAAGTACATCAGCATATCTAACAATACAGAAGATAAAAATAAGCAAAAAAAAACAACAAAAGAAAGTTCTTTGTTTTTTTACCGTCGAATTGGTGATGTAAAATGAGTATAAATTGGTGTAGCTAAACCATAATGTTCAAAACTTTTAATATCAGACTCAAATCCACTACAAAAATAAACAGCTTGCATCATACAACGTGTTGCAAGCATACGAAGCATAGTATTAAAATATGGATGAGCAAGTAGAACAGCTTGATCAAGAGAGTCAGCTAATTCTTTTCCTGTATTGGCTTTTATTTGAAAACCCTTAAAAAAATTCGAAAATAAATATTTTAATATATATATATATATATATATATATACATAAAAGATTAGAATAATTTACTTTAGTTTCAGCTGCTTTAACAAGTGGATCAAAATTTGAAATTGGTGGTGCAGGATGTTTTCGTAAACATGCACAATCAGGAAATAATTCATAAATCTTTTCAGCAACACTTATATTTGCTAAAAGCATAAATTCTTCAACAAGCCAATTTGTTTCTCTATATAAGTCAGAAAACAAAAAAAATGTTTTGAAAATGAATAAGAAATAAAAAAATAAACAACATTTCAAATTACCTTAATTCTTTATTCATTACACTAAGTGGATCATGTGTTTCTGTATCAAGTTGAAATCGAACTTCTGATGATTCAAGTACTAATGCACCTTTGTCAAGACGTTTTTGACGTAATTGTGCAGCAATTGAATGAAGATGTCGTAAACTAAGTGCGATTTCATCATTTATTCCAGAATCATCTTTTATAGTTTGAGCTTGTTCATATGTCATTGCAGACTATTTTATAGATATTTCAAAGAATCATAACAATATTAATTAAAAGAAATACATACTTTACTTTTGATAATTGACTTATGAAATATTGTGTTGACTATTTTTGCATCTGGTGTTATTTCCCATCTGACAGAAAATGCAAAACTAAACAAAAAGGAACCCACCTAATCAAATGAGTTTCTGAGATATACTAAAAATTGAACGATATCAAATTTTACTTTTCCAAACAACAAAGAAAAAGCTAATATCTAAAGTTCTTGCTGAAGTTATAGCATCACCGGTTTAAGCGTTGTTTTATTCAGATTTTTCTCTTGCGGAAGGACAATTAAAAATTTTGAGAAGGTGAATATCTATTTTCTTGGACCATAAACATATACTATATGCTACAATAACCATTAACTTCGAGAGGGTCTAACTAGTCCTCGGAGGGGTACCATCCTCTTAGCTCTCACACTGGATAATACACTTGGTTAAATTTATATGATTTCTTTAGTGAGAACTTTACATAGAAAAAATTTCAAACATTTTTTTTAACTTACCGTTCTTCCCCACCACGTAAAGAACAAAGATTTCCACTAAGCAATACTGGTAACATATCAATACGTCGATCAGTTAAATAAACTGTTGTACCACGTTCACGTGCTTCTAAATCTAAAGCTGTATTTGGACGTACAAAATGTGTTACATCAGCAATATGAACACCACACTAGAATTTAAAAAACAAACATCAATATTCACTTTTAAAAAAAATAGTTTTTTTCGTTGATTCTTACTTCAAAATTTCCATTTTCAAGTAAACGACAATGTAAAGCATCATCAATATCAGTACAACCAGGTGGATCAATACTAACAATACAAAAATCACGTAAATCAATACGATTAGCAAGATCCTTTGAATATTTAAAAAACAAATGAAATAATTTAAAATCAAAATAAATAAATAAATAAATAAACGAACTTCTTCGGTAATTATCCATGGTAATTTTGGTAAACAATCAAGTACTGCTTCAGGAAATTCATGATGTAGAATATCATGCTCAGCTAAAATAACTTCATTTTCTGTTTCTTTATCGCCAAGTTTACCAAGTGTTTTAATAAAATGACCCTTTCACAAACAAAAAAAAACACACAAAATAGATATTCAACAATCTATTGTTGTTTTATTAATTAAGATATTTACATGTGGATATCTAGATGAACGTGGCCAATGATCTATTTGTACCATAACTCGACTATTTTTTAATTCTTCAGCTTGACGACTTTCAATACGAATTTTTGGTATACGTTTTTCATGTGGTAAAAATAAATGAAATTTTGCCTATAAAACAAACTATTTTCGATTAGTAAATTAACGAAGAAGATAAATATCTTACACCAGGTAAAGATTCTTGTAAAATTCCACAATATTGTCTCCAATTTCGTTTAATTATCCCAATAATACGACAAGATGGAGTTCTCTTTGACGATACACCTTGAACAGTAAGACCCGTTTCTTCCTAGAAAATCAAAGTAAATAATAAAAAAAAAACTATTTAAGGATACTGTTCGATACGATAACCACATCTCATGTAAAAAGCCATCAACACTGTTTTGTAGAGCCATTTCTGACGTATCGAATGTTACATAGAAAGTTGAATTTTCATCAAGTTTCAACGTTCTGAGAAGTCATATACCAGTTAAAGGATATTTTACTGATTGTGGATAATATAACCATATATGATGACTTAGTATATCCCCAAATCAACGTCTATAAAAGTTTATTTAACGGTAATTTAATAGAGTTTTATCCGGTCTTTAATCGCGTATATCGAATAACAATTTTCTGAATACTCAAAATCTTAGCATTTTTTCTAGTTTTTGTAATTTTTGACTTTGATGATGTTTTAAATTCTTCGATACTGTTCCTCAAGGCAAACACGAGCAACTATGTAACTTTCTGAGAAAATGTGTACAAACGAGCTCTATAAGTATATCATTTGATTGTCCTCTAAGTTGAAGTGTGTCATTGGCAAATCGGTCAATCAATGCTTAAAAAAGATCAATTTTTCCATTCCTAATGATAGTTCAGATTCTTGAAGCGGAGACTATGGGAGAATGGACTAGTATAAAGATTATTTTTTCTTTTCTTATATTCTTTACAAATTCAGACTCTAAGTAGTCGAATGTGACTGGAATATGGAGCTCTATTATATTCAAAATATTGTTTGCTGTCTTATAAGAATTAAAAATGTTGCATGTCACCATATCGACTCTTGTTCTTTAGAGATTTTAAAGCGAAAATGTTTTTGTCATCCTCGAAAGATCCATACATATCGAATGATAGGACATGATGAACTTATTATTCATATATAGAAACTTGTTTACTGTCTTGATCCTGAGGAACAATATCGAAGAATCTAAAACGTAATAAAAGACAAAAAAATACATAGACTAGAAAAAATGCTAAGGTTTTAGGTATAAAGAAATCTATTGAATTAAATTTCAACAAAATTTTATATACATTGTTTCGAAGACATACTTGAGTCATAATATTTGGTTATATTACCCATATTTGCTATAAAACCTTTTCACTGGCATATAGTTTTTTAAGATTGTTAAAACTTGATGAAAATGCAATTTCCTATATACTATTCAATGCGTCACAGGTTGCTCTACACAACGGTATAGATAGTCTTTCAAATGTACTGTGAACGTCGTATCCTATAGGGTCCTTTAATAAAAGGTAAATGAATTTACTTGTTCAATAACTAAATCTCCTTGATCATCATCTTTATCATCAATAACTAAACTAAAAGGTATTGCCCAATCTTGTTCAGGTAAAATTTCAACAGCAACAAGATCATCATGAACAGCACGATTTAAATTTCGATAACCTTGGACAAAAAGCTTTAAAAAAATAGAACAAAAAAACAATGTTTTTTGCTTTTTTAAAAAGACAATTATTTTTAATATTACTTGATTATATTTTTCTGAATCCTGAACGAATACATTAGCTTCAAGATAATTTTCTCGACTTGCTTGAAATGTACCTTGTAAGTATTTACCAGATTTTATACCACGTTGAACTTCAGATACAGATACATGTTCAGGAAAAATAATCTTAATTTTTGTTAATAGAAAGAAATCAAATGAGAATTTTCACAATTGTTTTTTTTTTTGGTTTTTAAAATTCATACCTCTTTTCGTTTACCGAGATCTTTTTCTAAATCAAATGATTCTTCTTTTAACACAAGACGATCTAATAATTCTGGACGATTAAATGTTGATATATATTCCTTAACTAAAATCAATCATATTCTATCATATTAAATCTTGATTTATTTACATACGAGAAAAAGCAATTAAGCCTTCTTGTCGAGCAAGATCACGATTTGCTATATCATCAGTGAGAAGAACCATAGAAACTAAAAAATATTACAGATACATATATATATATATATATATAGTTTCTTAGCTATTATTTTAAATTATTTATTCATTGAGAAAGATTGATCTTATGATAAATTGTGAAACTCGTTGGATTTCATCAGTCTTTTTAATTGAGTCAATCAAACTTGAAGCTTGCGATATAGTGCACATACTCATAGAATATCCATAATCAAATTATAAAGTCAGCTGTAGTCAAAATTTTATTTTGTGCTTTTGCAATAAAGGATCTTACATAATAAGCCTTTATTTTTTCAATTAGTCTTCTTTTTTCTCAAATGTTTTTATATTGATAGAAGTTAATATGCATCATGCATGCAATACACATATAGATTTACTCTATAGTAAAATTTTATCTTTCAAAGTGTGATCTTTTACAAAGATACGAACAATATCAAAATCGTCGAATGCAAAAAAATTCGTAGTCATATGATTTTGCATTCACCACGAGTTACCTTTGCCTTTCTGTTATTTATTTTACGCAGTGATAATTAGAAAAAAAGCAATTATGCAAGCACTTTTCACCTGATGATTGTAATGTATAAAAATCATTGTGTGAGTAAATTGTATGAAAAGCGAAATTACTGTCATAGTGAATGGATTGGTCGTTTATTAATTACCGCTTTTTCTCAATAAAATGATACAGTTTTGATTTTCTTAACTCAATGAAACTAATTCACTTGTATTTTTGAATGTTACAAATCAAATTATATAATCTATACTAATAACATGTGTAATATTTCGCAAGAAAGGAAAGAATTTTGATTCAATATAACATGTAATAGATTACAAATGGAGAACTAATACATAAAAATTGATGCACGATTTATAATTAATTTTTTTCTTTTAAACGAAATTCGATTGGTCAATATTTCTCAACGCATTCTCTTATATGAAATATTGCTAATAAAATATGAAAAATACTTCAAAAAACCTATTATACAATCTTAATAACATCGCTTTATTCAAGATTCTAAATTCATTGTTAGTCTTGCTACATATCCGATTGATAATAAAAAAACTACTTTAGAATTCTTTTCATTTAATGTTTTGTTTTTTTAATTCAATCATCATAGATTTTAAATTTATATAACAAATGTATTTTCAATAATTCAAATAATTAAAAATCTTGTTCTTCTTACTTTGTTGTTTTAAATGTTCATTATAAAATTGTACAATTTTTCTAATTGCTCTATCGTTTCGATCATTTGGACTTTCACCAGGTTTACGTAAAACAAATGTGTTTCTATCAAATAAATATTATTAACACTACTATTCATATTAATTAAATACATACTTATTAAATTCATTAATAAAAACAAAGAATTTTCTTTCTGGAATTGCTATTATACTTCTTATTCGTTTATAAATAGCTAAACTTTTATGTCGTACCTATTATCAAAACAAAAACCAAATAAAAGACTTAATTAATTATAATTATTCTTTTGCCTCACTTCATCAAGTACAACTTGTGGTACAATTACATTAGTAAACAACGAATCTTCAAGAACATCAACCTAAAGAAAAAAACAGAAGTTTTTTTTTCTCTTAATTCATATAAAATTTGTCATCCTTTTTCTTACTTGTTGTAAAACAATATTTGTATCAACAAGTAAATAATGTCCAGTTGAAACAAGATTATTTCCATTCTTCATATGTTTATCAAGTATTGTTGATTGATCAACAATACATTGTTGACATGCATTTGATCCACATGTGATATCCGTACGTAAATATAATTCATGTGTTATTTTCAGAACATGACCGCGACGTGTTTTACGTAGAAATGAATTTAAACGACGTGTATCATCAATCATTATATCTGTAAAAAAAAGAAGCAACCAAGTTAATTGAGAATTTGGTTACTTTTTTTATTTTCATCTCTTATATATAAACATGTCTCGAACGATTGCACACAATTTATTTTTTATAAATTCACGACATATACATTAAAAAATGAAAGAAAAGAAAAAGCTGGTATGTGGAAATTCGATTTATTATCCATCGAACTATTAGAAAAAGGAAATCCACATATGTTCATTTGTCTTTTTTCTTTCTTTCAACATTAATAGACTGTTCGAGATCGACAAAGAAACAGACTTGCGAAGTAACAAAAAAAAAAGAATGTGAAGATATTTAGAGCAAGGACATTTTCACTGTTGACATAAAAAAAATAAGATGGAAGTGAGCGATTAATTAGAACAGAAAAAAATTGTTATTTAGGATATATGTGTAACGAACAAGAATAATAATAGAAAAAGAAAAACTCGATTATAAGGCATATAAATAAGCTATCGGCTTTATTTTAGAAATGTATCTGATCAGTGCGGAAAGATCAGTTGTCAACGAAGATAAATCACGTCTAAATAAAAAAAAGAAAAATAACGAATATCTTATGAATTATTAAAAGAACAATTATGGATAATTTACTTCTCGATAGCTTGGCTCAGCCTGAATCATAAACTCATCGAAACGCATATAAAGTGTTTCAAATGTTGGACGATTGTTTGGATCTTCTTGCCAGCAAGAATACATAATTTGATAATAAAGTTCATGACAATCGTTTGGCTAAATCAATAAATAATTATTAAATTATATTATAATAGACAAGAAAAACAAAAACATTTACTTTTGGCATTCGATAACCTTTCAATACAGCTTGTAATGCTTCATTATTCGACATGCCAGGATATGGATTTGAACCATGTGTAATTAATTCATAGAGAAGAATACCAAAACTCCATACATCAGATTTATGTGTATATTCTTTTTTTGTTGCTGCTTCGGGTGCAGTCCATTTTATTGGAAATTGAGATTCACGATCGACCATTAAACGACCACCTTGAAGATATTTTGCTAAACCGAAATCAGCTATTTTAACCACATCTACTTCACCAACTAGAATATTTCGAGCTAAAACAAAAATTATAATAAAATATCTATGTGAAAATAACAATCGGATTATTTGTAAGAATGAATCAAAAGATTTTCGCGTAGTCTCCTTTAGTTTACGATGTTTTGTCTTAAAAAAAAGTAAATGTATAATAAGATAGACTGTTCCACTATATGCTTCGAGATCATGACAAACGTAAATATTCTTTAGATTTCTATACAATTATTAGTTATGCTTTTCAATAAAATCATTAAACAACCTTATTAGAGTTTCACACTGTAACTAGATATACGTAGGTTTGTCAAGAGGATTTTTTTTGCATATATTCATTTAAATCGCATTCATTGTCCGTTCAAAACAGGATCTTCATCTTAGCACATAATATTCTGTGTGGAACCTTTGGTACACATTTTAGTAGTGTATAATCATATACAGTCTAAACACAAGCTTCCACAACAAAAGAAATTGTATTTGACTTTATCTACTATTATGACAGGAAGCCACTGGAGATGCATTGTTGAACACACGTTCTGAGAAAAATATGAAACAAATGTTTTAAATATATCTTGTACAATAACAAAAGTTTAAACTGATGAAAACAATGATGTACGAGTTAAGAGTACTCATGAAGCTCGATCAAATGATATGTGAAGGTCTAAGAGGCAATATATGGCCACGTATTTCATATTATTTTTGATAATTGTTTTTTTTTACTACAAAGATGTAAGTTACAAGGACACCTTTCTTTTCAAACTCACACCCTAATTATTTAATATGAACTGCATAAACTGTAGACTACTAGACCATGCTTGTTTTACTCTAAAAAACTGATTCTCTTTCGAAAAGAATTACTTTTTCCGGAGGCCAAAACTTCAAAGTTATACTGTCAACATTTTTGAAGAGAATACGTCTTAACACTTGAATAATCAAATTATATTGATTACAGAATTTTGAAAAATAACATCAGTTAACTATTGGAATTTTAACGAGATCAATAGCTTCCATGACAATACTTTCTCTTGTGCGAATTTCATTAATATACGAACGTAGATTTTCAATATCATTACAATATTTTAGATTTAATAGTGACAATATAAGACAACGGATTGTTGTCGTGAAAAAAAGAAACAAATTCGAATTAAATTGTTCTTTTTTCTCTGTTCGGAAAAACTAATTCCAATTTTAAATGATATTTTCTATAATAAATTTTAAAACATACCAGCAAGATCACAATGAACATAACCCTTTTTTTCAATATATGCCATACCATTTGCAATCTAAATATGAAACAAAATTAATCTTACTTTTATTTTTCATTTATATTTATAAATAAAAAATTTGTATATATTTTTACTTGTGCAGCAAAATCTAATATTGTTTTAAATTTTATATTTCTTCCTTGTCCATCACGTAAATAATTAAGTAAACAACCATTAATTAAAAATTCTGTGACAATATATATTGGTTCTTCTTGTGTACAAACACCATATAAACAAACAATATTTTTATGTATAAGATCTTTCATTTTTTTTGCTTCATCAAGAAATGCATCAACATTACAAATTCGATTTCTCGTATCAGTTTTCATGCATTTAATAGCAACATCACGTTGACCATATTTGCCCCTGTATACTTCACCATAATTTCCTTTACCAATTAATTCAATACGTGAAAGTTGTGAACGATCTAATTCTAATAAACCATGTCGATCAGCTGGTACAGTTGGTTCAATTTTTCGACATGGACGTGTTAATATACAACAAAGACCATCAGCATTAGCTTTAAAAAAAAATCATATATATATATATATAAATAAACGAACAAAATTTAATCTTTATTTATTTACTTCGATAATAATCAACAAGCTCTTTCAAAGTTTGGAATGTAGCTTTACTACTAATATAATACATTCCTTGATTTGTTCGACGTATACGATAATGTTTAACATGAAAATGTTTATCCTTATTTAAATCCAGAACAGATAATGATTCTTGACCTTGTTTTTTTTTTCAACAGAAAAAAACAAAAAAATATATATTAAAAATAATTAAATCTATTAATAATACCTTGATTTGTATCCGATGGCCGAATTAGAAATGTTCCTTTACCATTATGTGGTTGTTCTAGAAATCGTTCAGCATCACGACGATTTGTTTCGGCAAAATACCATCTAGATTTGATTAAGGATAATTACACCATATGTGATATTCTCAAGTGTAATGACTTACTCATATGCTGTTAAATCATTTATCGCTGATATGTAATTAGCTGGAACATAACCAACTCGTTTTGTTCGCAAATTTTTAGCTTGCCACCAATCATTATAACTATACGAAAACAAAAATCAAAATTTTTTTTTTTTTGCTTTTCGAAATTTTGTCTAACAACTGCTTAAAAATGATCTATTAATCTAATGAAAAGTTTTTTATCACATTATTAAATATAATTTAATTGTAAACTTGTGAGAATATGTTTAATATTGAAAATAACTTACGTATATTTATCAAGAATTTCTAATCTATCTCCTTTGACAAAACTTAATTCACCAGATGTTGATGTTCCATTAAAATCATAATTTGCTACATACATAAGTTTATCTAATAAAACGACAAGAATTCAATTCCAAAAAAAAATAGATATTTAAACTAAAAAGAATTATACTTGAATTGGATTTTGGATTCGTATTATTATTATTATTATAATGCTGCGTTGAAGGCATTGTATATTGAGTTTGTGTATTACTCATTAAATATGCTCCATTTTGTTGTCCATAATTATTTGCAAACAGTTGGTTATTCTGTTGACTATAACCATTTACTGGTGAAGAATATGTTCGTTGATTATTATATCCATCAGCACCTTTACTTGTTACTCCATTATTATAATAATTATTTTGATATTTATAATTGTTATTACGCGTTTTTTGACGCGAACTTGCAGATCGATTTCCCATGGAAGTAGAATATTAAAAATTTAGGATGGCATACAACTGAGATTGTATGTCACATAAACAGACGTATCTATGACTGTTCAGATAATCTAGAAAATAAATAGATGAACAAATTGATAGACAATGTCAGTTGGTAATGCTTTGAAGATTGGTTTTTTTATGCATAAGCTCAACTAACTTCCTATTGTATTAACTCTTTCACGCTTGTTCGTTGACTAAGTACTGCAGTCTTGTTTTAACCAATTACAATTAAATGTCAACACGATTTTTTTAAATATTTATTTTCAAGATTAATTTTGAAATTCTATTGCTAACAATGAAAGTATTATTTCAAAATCATAAGAATAATATATTTTTTTTAATATTAGTACCATCAGAAGAAATAATTTGTTTGCTACAAAGACTGACATCTACTTTTCGATGTAAAATATAGTTAAGTATAGTAATATTTCTGATGTGTTACCTCAGTTTCATCAAGATGTGCACAAATTTTTGCATTGATAAAGAGATTATTGACTAGCTTTGAATGAGTACAGTGTTGATTGTTTATTAATTTATAACCAGATCAGAAATGTATGAACATATGTTGTATGGTAATCGCTTGCCTTGTTCAATAAATAATATATCAACAGAATAGGAATCTAAATCAATATTAAAGATAATCTGATCAAGATATAAATGATTATCGCTATATCATGTAAATACATATTGGTAAGATTTATAAAACATGAAGATCTATCAAAAGAATAGTTAATTCAAACAAGAAGTCATGAAATATGAGAACTTCAGTTCAATCAAGAAAACGGAAATTAAGTTCAATCGCATGAATGAGCATCTCATCAACTAGATATATCATGATGATGCTTTAATAAAATCATTTCAATGAACAAGAAAGACTATTCTTATTCAACACTGAAGTTAACCTGCATATGTCTATTATAAACTCGAAAAATTGTTCTATGGAAAATAAAAATTTTTTAAATTACTATAAAAGTTATGATCAATAAGAATTCTTTTATGATTTAGATTTACCAACATTGATTTGAATAATTAACAAAAATTTAGAATGTTAATCAATTCATTTATTTTGATGTATCTGATAAACTAAAGAAAAAAAAATTCAATAAATTCTTTTAAAAATGAATATATGTAAGATTTTTCATATGATTCGATCATAAAAACTATTCCAGAAATTTTTTCATTACTTCAATTATTTGACATCACATTCGTAGTATAAAAATCATAATCTACTCAATATCGTTTTTTTTTCTATGCTCTATGTAATATTTACTTCAGTAAGTAACAAAATATGCAAATGTCAATACATAATATCCTTCTAAATCTGATGACATTATAACGAATTGGTATTAGAATATTCTCAAACAAATTATTTTAAATTTGAATAAGTTAATAATATAGAATATGAGTTTATCAATGAAGTTAATCTTAACACGATATTAGCAGGGATTTTCCTATGTACTTCTATACTTGTTTTATTAATTAATTGAAATGATATTTAAGCATAAAAATCTACTACTGTTGACACTTTTGTCATTAGTGATTATATGATGATACTCAGTCACAATATTGAAAACAAATGAATATATAATAAATAGAGGGAAATTATTGCTGAATCAATATGATACTATTGGAAAAGATTATCTGAAAGTACTTTTACTTGTAATATACATATGAAGATTTCGTTGTTGGATCGAATTGAGTCATAAATACCTTTCTTTTCAGTTCATCAATAGTATAAATGAGAACCATTGACATCTTATAAAATATTGATAATTTTTTATAGGTCTTATTTCGATGTGAATATTTATGATTTGAATGGTATAATCAGGACGCTTTAATCACTTAGATTTTAGAGTATGATGATCGTTCATAAAGTTCTAAGACGGATTTATTGTTGTCTGTACGTAATAGATACAGTTGTCGATCTATAGAAGTCATGAGTTGTGATCGATTAAACATTTATGTACTGATAGAAAATATTAAAATTTGAGCATCTTTCAATGATAAAATTTTTTTAACACTGGAAGATCGATCTTCATCCAATATTCATGAACATATGATGGCAGTTTATGATGACCGATACTCCATCGCACATTACAGTTTCTGAATGAAATTACATTTTTAAAGAAGGACAATTAAATGTTATCGATAGCTCTGGATGTAGGCGACACAAACATGAAAACAGTTAGATGCTGAATCATCAAAAAGTCTTAAATCACAATTCAGCAAATAGCGGACACCTTTAGCATTTTAAATGCACTTGACATGGCATCATTTTACATGATCATTTAAATATAATTAAAATCTGTTTAAGATGAATATAACATTTAATAGCACCCAAAACACCTATGCATCGTTAGTATATCAATACTTATTTATCCATATTTTAAACGACGAGCTCGTTTAAAACTTTTATTGTGTAATAGACTATTATTTCTATAAGCTACCATCATACATTCATAACTATTGATTGGTAACTCACCATCGAAAACACAAAATTTTATTCAAGTTTTTAATTTTCTATCCATAAATATGAAGTGATCAAGAAAGTCTTATTATATCTGGACATGAATGCTTAATTGATCAGAGTGGCTAACGTCGATAGATTGAAGACTGTATGAACTACACACAGACTACAATGCTAACGCAACAGTGCTTTTGGTTGTTTTTAAATAAGATCAATCGTGCAACTGTTTTGAGAACTATATCTCGTATAAGCTGAGATTTTTGTTTCCTTTCTCCTTCGATTACATATAATCAGCTAGAATAACAACATGAAAGTGTTCATCAAACTGTTATATAACATGATATTGACATAACGTTATTCATAATATATCTATAATAACAACGAGTTAAGTATCTTCTAAAGTATTATAGATAAACATAAGTATGTTATTTATACAATTCGTGATTAGTTATGTAAGCAGACGTATTAATCGACGGTGACCTTGAAACGTTTTCAATGCTTTTCGTTTTTTAAATATTTTCGCGGTTAAGAGAAATTTTGAAACGAAAAAAAAGAAGAGAAAATGATAGTAGAAAACGCAATGATATGAAACTAAACAAAACTATTCATGAAAACTGATCTTCGATATCGAAATTTTTCAAAAATTTAGTATAAATTTCTATGTCGCGACGGTAGCGACTTACGCCGATATTTTTGATATAGTCATGCAAGCGAATCTTTAGTTGGTTACTTGTTTCTTTTTTTTTTTGGCACATCAAAAAATACAATTTGTAAAATAGGGCATACTTATAAATAAACGAACAATTATAGTTTTGGTTTTTTTTTTCTTCGGTTATTATTTCTTTTCAACGGTAGAAAATGTTGATCGTTTCGTAGTTGTTGGTCTTACAAGATTCGATGACAGAAGCGAATTTATAAGATCAGGATTAGGCGGAAGTATAGAACGTGATGGTGACATAATTGGTTGTCGTTTCATAGAATTTTTTGATATTTTAACTGTTTGATTAATTTTTGTTTGTTGTGATAAATTTGTTATTGAACGAGATTGTTGTTGTTGTTGTTGTTGTTGTTGATGATGATAATGAATTGGCATCGATATTCTATTATGTTGTACTGTTCGAGAATGATTGTCATGTTTTAGAGTTGGATGTTTGATATGTGATTGAACTATAACATTTGATTTTCGAATTGTTGGTGTTGATTGTTGTGAAGTTTTCGAAGGAAAATTTTGTGATAAAAAATTTTTTGTTTTTATAATGTGATTTTGATGATTAGTTGACGGAATATTTGTTGTTAAAGGTTTTGATGTTGATGATAATGATGATGATGATGATCGAGATGATGTTTTTTGTTGTTTCATAAGTGCATTAAAATGTTTATCGATTTCTTTTTCTTTTTCCATTGCTGATATAAAAACACTTTTTAATAATGTTGAATGATCAGATTTAGATGTTCGTCGAGTTATTTGTTTTTTACAACGATCACATAAAATAGTTATGATTTGATTTGATATTTTAGAATTTATATGTTTCCACCAACGTATTGTAAAATCTGTTCCACATTGGTCGCATATATGTGGTTCATCAATATAGGCATGATCAGTAAAACGTTGTGGTAAACGATGACGACTGCTTTGTAATTCATTAAAACATTGTATAACATCTTCAAGACCAAGATATAATTGAAATTCTGCACTTGTACCATTTGGAATAAATATAGTATCTTGTATAGATGGTTTTGGTAATGATATGTTTAATAGATCGCGTTCTAATTGTTTACGTAATGCTAATTTAGCTTGAGTTTTATATTCTTCAAATGAAGAATTTTTAGATGTTTTATTTGAATTTGTTAATAATGGAGAATTAGATGTTTTACGTGTTGTTATTGGCAATGATTGTTGTTGAAGAGGTTTAGTAGTTATTGGTAATTGTACTGGTTTTATTGATGGAGTTATAATAGGTTTTTCTATAGGATGACAACCATTTGTTACTGTTTTTGTATTATTATTATTTGTTTGTGTTAATAATTGTTGATTTGTACGTAATTTTTTTAATAGAACTAAATAAGCTTCTTCATTTCGTAGTTCTTGAAGTATTGAACGAAGTTTTAAAAGTTTCAATTGACATACAGTATTATTGATAAAATTAATATTTGATTCAGGTGATAAAGGTCGTTTAAGTGACATTGAATTTAAATCTAAAAACTTCATTTAAATCAAATATTTGACGTATATATATATATATATATGTATTATAAACTAATGAAAAATTGACACAGTATGACTAATTGTAATAAAAAAGTATAACGGAAGAGAATAACTATATGACAGTACCTGTGTTGTGTTGGGAGTAGATACGGTCTGTAGTACAAGAACGGTAAACAAGAAATCGACAAGAGTAAATTGAATGGGGGCGCTAACAGACATCTAAAAGGGTAAGCTACCCTTCATCTCCTTCTATCATCTCTCCAATACGGACTTTCGTTCTTTTTTTTTTTTTTTTCTTCTCTCTCTCTCCCTTTCTTTTGATCGTCATTGTTGGCATCGTTGCCAGACCTCGACTTTCTTATTTATTGACGACGGAAGATATTTAGCACTAGCACATTGTATAAGAAATGAGAAGAATAAAAAGAAAAAAGGTAACATCATAAACATTTCAATTTGAACTTGATGAAGAGAAAAAGAAAACTTGAATTATTCACATATATCTGACAATATGGAATAGAAAAAAATGACGTAGTTTTGCGATGATTGTAGTAAAGAAGCTAACATTATAGCATATATCTACACATAAAAACAGAGATAGACAATTAGAAGCCTAAAAATTCATAGTCAAGTAAAAACAACAGAATACGATGACGAATGTATGAGCGATACTATATGCACAAATGTGGAAATGATTTGTTTTCTCAAGCGTTTAAAAAAAATAATCAATAAAAGAAAGAAAATCAATGAAATATCGACTGTAAACAATTGTTATGCGCATCGTTCAAAATGAAAATTAGTTACAACAATAACTTCTATGTTTCGATTAATTTGACTGAAAGTTTCAAGTACATTCCATTACCGATATATGTATCAATAAGCATTATTGTTATCATTTATTAGCTATCCTAAAATCCTAAGCTCTTGTATGTATTTCAAAAGATGTCATAAACATCACTTTTAAACAACAGTATGTAAAACCTTCTGATACCACTATGCTATGTTCACATAGAGAACTGTAAGTAAGTTTTATAATAACAATAGCCTTCTCATCGTTCTGAATAGATATAGAAGAAGCATGATTGTCGGATACTATGAATTGTCTAGCTCGATTACTTGCTTACAATTGTGCGAAATGGAAAATGGATGATGATGGGATAGACGAGAAAGAACGCGAAAGAGAACATGCTGTGTCGAAATGACGACACTAACGACGCTTGTTTTAACAAAAAAACGATTGACCTCTTACAGTCAACAAGAAAAAAGGAAAGAAGAAAGACGAATATAATCATGGATACTACTCCACCAAAAATCTTCGTTTTTCTTACTTTATAATCTATCTCAAATAAGATTTTCATCGTTTTGTTCATTATTCAAAACTAGCTCTACGTATGTATTACTAAAATTTTTTGAAGTAAAGAAAAACAAAAATTCTAAGTCTATTGAAAACCAAAAAAAAAAAAACAAGGCCAAGAAACAAATAATAACTTATCCCAAAAAAAAGTGATGAGACAAAATATATGAAATCCTTCGTACAGAGAACGGGAGAAACGAAGAAAAGGAGAGAGAAAAGAAAAAAAAAACTGACGATTGGAAGATCATTGATCCAGTTGCGCCTATATAAAGAACCCCTATATATATTTCATCTAGACAAGTAGCGACGTTTTAGTATTCAATAATAATACAAGAAAAATCAACAATATCTTTCATTTGCTGTTGATTTCGTGGATAGGATATATGAAAAAACTACAGATTTTTTGAAAGAATTCATTTTTTGTTTATTCTTTAAAACCTAGAGAATTAAATCATCATGTCGGAACCACCTCTGCCCAGTGCTCGTCGTCAACTTTTATTTGCAAGATATGGTCCGATTTTAATCACGCCGTTCTATTTCGGATTTTCAACTCATGTACTTGCACCGAATTCTTTTTCTAGGTTTGATAACTCAAAATAAAAACAAAATAATTCTATGTTTTTTTTTCTTTTTGTAAATTTCATCAAAATAGAATCCTTGGACCTGAATTGAATGTACCAGTAGCTAACTCTTTTTGGGTTGGATCTCATGTTGGTGTTGGTATATATTTATACATTTCAAAGCATTTACGAAATGCTGATGTATTTGATCGTTTATTATATAGGTAATATTATATATATATATATATATATAAGAAAATAAGATGATTTTTGCATTATTTCAATTAAACTGTAGTTTGTATGGTTCAGCTATGTTCAATTTTGGCACTGTTCTAGTGATGTCAATCATTCGCTCAATTTTTCCTGATAACGACGTACTTCGTTTAGGAGTTGGTCTATCGTCTAGTGCTGCCTTATTATTTATCGGTAGACGATATATTCTATACATTGATCAGGTTTTCGATGCAATTCGGTTTCGATCAATAACACGTTCATAGAAAACAAATTCAGCAAAGAAAACATTAATTAAGCCGTATTTCAACCACCTTGAATTTTTTTTTTGAAAATTTCGCTTTCTTTGTTTCCGTAGTGATTATTAAGAGATGTATAATTGTGGTTTCACACTTTTTTTCTTTATTTCTGAATCTCTTATTTAACATTTAAACAAACAAAGAAAAAAAATTTACGGTAGATAATTTATACAATGATTGAATCGTTAACATAAGCGATTCCGTTGCCTGTCATAGAAGAAGGTTTCAACGGTATTGGTATATCTTCATAATTTGGCATATCACTATCATCACCACAATAAGTTGAAACCATTTCAAAAAGATATGGTTGTCGAGGTAATGATTTATTAATAATTGAAGGTTTTTCTTCTTCAATCGTATTCATTATACGACTTGAATTAACATGATATGCATGACTATCATCATAATCATCTGTTGTTGTAGATAAATTTGTTGATATATGATCTTGATTTGTATTACTAGTTGTACCACTATTATTATGATCTCTTATGTCAAATAAATGATTCTGTTGACGAAGTTGTGGAAGTTTAAGAAGTGTATTTGGTAATGATCTTTCACGCATAAGAAAACGAGGACCATTTGATCTTTTTAATGCTTGGGTTGAACGACGACGTTGTCGTTGATTATGATAATAACGACGACGACGATAACGATGAGATTTTTTATAATTTCTATCTTCACCATATGTTGATGTATCATAACCACTTGTTGTTGTATTATCATTTGGATAGGGTTTTGAAATAGCATCGGGAAATGTTTCACTTGATGTTGAATGAAGATCAATAAATAAATATGAATTTAATTGTTTTGGATCGATTGTTTTTGGTTGAAATGAATCAAAATCATTTAAATAAGCATCCATTATTGATTGTTGTAAACGACGTGATGGAATCATTGATGGTAATGTACTTATACTTTGACCAAGTGAAGAGTTTTGTTGTTGAATTTGAGTTGGATGATTATCTGAACATAAATGTCGAGATGATCGAATTGAATATGATGATGTAGATGATGGAGTTATTGATGAAGCTAAATGTCTTTGATCAGTTGATTGTTGATTATTTAAAACTTGTCGAAATTTATTTTGAATTGTATGACGTTTTTTCGAACGTTTTCGATCAGAATAATGTCGATAACAAAGAATTATAATGGCAATAATAATAGCAACTAGAAGAAAAGCAATAACACATATTAAAGCAATAAATGATGGTTGAGAGGCATTGAATGATGATGAGGAAGAAGAATTGTCTTGAAGTATTTGTCGTCCATAACGTGATTGAGAATTAGCTAAAATATCGATGTTTTGTTTTTAATAATCAAATATTTTCAATTATATTTACTTCGAAAAACATAATCAATTATAAATGATGTTTGCTGTATATTTTTGTGATTAATAGATATTAATTCAAATAAGACACCAGAATTTTTCTCTTTAACATCAAATTGAATCTCATTATTTACAAATGTAACATTTGTTGAATCATATACAAGTGTTTTTTTCTTATTTATAGTTGAATAAATTTTAAATATAAATGAATTTGAAAGTAATTGAGTTATATTAATAAAATGAATTAATAATGTATAGCCATAATCATAGAAAAAAAACCATTGTTTAGGTTTCATACATGAAACACTATCATTAGTATTAATTCTTAATGAACCATAAAGATTATTAACTAATACTGGTTGGCAATGATCGAACATTTTACGTCTTTTAAATGTATGCCTAAGTATAAAAATGTATTGATGATTGTTTGCAAAAAAAAAAAGGACATTTCAACAAAGGGAGACAACTATAAACTTATTCTTGTTTATGTGGGATTTCTGTTATTGCAATAAGAAGAGAGTAAGACTAATCGAAATGACTGTGCTCTGGAGAGATGAAGAAAGAGAAACAGTATAAATTATTTTTCGTTTGATTTTTGAACAATATTTAACTTAGATTATTTCTCTAAAACAAGTTTATAAATAGAAGAAAAAAAAAACCTACAAAGAAAAATATAGAAGAGTATAGTATCAATATGATTGTTTAACAAGAAAATTACTTATCAGAAAAATAAATAAACAATAAATTTACTTTGCAATACAAGCTAATCAATAAATAATTTTGCTAGTTGAAGGAGAGAAAAAAAAAGAAAGAGTTACAATTGGTATGTCATGTTTACATTTTAGAATAATGTATTGAAGAAGAGAGAGAGAGGAAAGAAAATCATAAAAAACGAGTAATGTATGTATTTGGCGTGACTGCATCGACAAACATACAGTAAGTATCCGAGGAGAAAAAAAAATCCAATAAAGAAGCCTTTACAAAGCATTTTGTTGAATGTTCAACCTTGTCAAGAAACAAATAATTTTTTCTGGTCAATACTTTCGCGCATTGTATATTGTATTGAAATAAAAAAAAAAAAGAAAAGCAGAACTCTTCCTATATTATCTAACACACATATTGAATTCACAAGAATAATAGAATATGGACTATCAAACATCACATACAGAGCGGTCTTTCTTTTCTTTTTTCTTCTTCTTCTTCTTCTTTTTCAACTCACATGATATCATCGTAACAATTCATTCAATGCTTATACTAGTTGATATAAATCAAACAGCACGAGTGCGTACACAACATTACATATAAAATGACTATGACTGGTTTGTTGAGTGGAAATAGCTGAACAGGTTGGTGATGTGCTTCATCTCAATTTCAATTGATGATTGTTGGTATGTGTGTATGCAATGGACACAGCAGGTACCCATAGATAAGGTTTCATTCCCATCTGAAAAGAAAACAAAGTTCTATACTTGTATTGAATGAAAATTCAATAGTACATGTTCATTGTATTATTTTTCATTTATTCTTTAAAAAGAAAAAAGAAAATTATTTTGAAAACCTATCTTTGCAATAAAAAGAAATAAGTAATTGAATGAAATAACATTAAATGTGAAGGAATTATGATCACCTACTACGACATATAGAATGGAATTATTTTGACAAGTATAAGGTGGATTTGTGTATAGAGAATCTTATGACATTCAAAATTTCGTTTATAAGGTTAGACCAAAGATAAACTAATATCTAATAGTCAAAGCATCCATTTATCAATCAAAATATCAACTTTATATATATATATGATAATTGTTGTATAACGAATAAAACGTTACTTCAGTTTAGGTCTTAAATGATGTGATCTTCTATGATTTTATTCTCTATCTTAGTCTCTACTTTCTTTTTAAACAGTAATCTATGAGTATTGAATAATCTCCATCAATAATTGATTTCAAATGAATCAAAGTCACAAGAATTGGTACGCAGCGACATCTATCGAATGTTATTGATTGGTTATCTGGTATTTATTCATATTCAGCTGTTTTCTACTGTCACCATTCAAAACTACTGCAATAGGACATATAGGTCAATTATTATTAAATTTCATACATCTGTATGCTTCAATGGGATGGTATATCATCTTTCGTCAACGACCCACGTCTGTGGCCTCGATCAAACATCGAACTTTATTCGGAATCAATCCACCAAAGCCTAAATTTCCCTTTGCATCAGCAAAAAAAACAGAACACTATGCAGAAAAACGATTGCTAGGGTGAAATTTTTTGTGAATAAAAAAGAAAATTCTGAATCTTTTCTTTTTGTTTAATTATATAGTTACACATCTGCAGAGATGTATAATGTAGTTGTTGACGTAGCAAGATATCGTGAATTTGTTCCTTGGTGTATTCGATCGGATATAATTAAACCAGCATATCCAAACATGTTTAAAGCAAATATGGAAATTGGTTTTCAAGTCATTAAAGAACAATATACGGCTTTAATCACTCATCAAAAGCCAACACTAGTCAAAGTATGATTTATTTTATTTTATTTTATTTGAATATGATTCTTTTTTTAGTCTGTTTGTACTGATGGTCGTTTATTCAATTATTTAATAACAGAATGGCGATTTTTACCCGGTATTGAAGTAGAGCCTCGATCATGTACTCTCGACTTTTATGTATGTTCATATTTTGTATTTCATCTTGCAAGAGAATTCCACAGGTCTAACGAAACAAAGTCTCAAAATAATATATTGTTTTTGATCCAGGACATGTCTATCATATAGGTCCTAATGAGCTATGATGATCCTGAAAAGAATTCATTCTACTAGTTTATTACTGTCGGGATATTCTATTTTTATAGTATTTTTTATCAAAAGGTCGTGCTCTCACTCAGAAACGCCTGAAAAACTGAATTTCGTTTTGAACTTCGCACAGAAACAGGTTTTAACGAGAACAGTTGGTTGTGAAAATTTCAGATCTTTTTGTTGTTGCTATTCTAAGATGCGATTATAGTAAATACATTTTTTCTTTTTACATCATTCATATATACCAACAAATTCCGATATTCTTATTTCAGAATAGGAGCAATCAAATGGTCTTAAACTTCATAACAAACTGTTCTCTTTAAGATCTCTCTTTATACAAAATGTCAAATTGAAGGTGAAAAATCATTTTTCGTAGTGTTTCTGAATCGTTCGCGACATTATACTAAAAAATATGGTAAGAATGTATAGTATCATGGGACCACACTAAGCAAACGGCACGAAATCTTTTCAAGGTATTCATGGCTCATTAGGATCTGCGTGATAAAGATTGCCACAACGATTCATCAGTGGAAGATTTTCCTGTGAAAGAGAGATATATCGAAAACAGTTGTTTTTGGAATATTTACATTATCTTTTAGCGTCATTTCATTTAGAATGTTTATCTATTAAGCTTAATTTTCAATCAATCCATTGTTCGATTGATTAAGATTATTGGTTTAGTTACATTAAAAAATTCTTCATTTGTAAATACTAATAATTATATATCATGAATAATTGTTATTGTTGATTCGTTATATAGTGAGCAGTAACTACAGTAAATATATTACTAGTAGTTTTTATTCAGAAAAAAATTCCATGTTCTATGACTTTGTTCAGTAAATGTATGGAATATACTTCGCTACTTATTCTTTGATAATTGAACCTTACGGTCGAAATGACTCTTAAAAATATATCTCGTCAAATAACTTATCACAACTACAAGACTCATTTTTGTAATTCTTGCAATAAATTACATATAGTCATGTATGTTTTAATCTTTTCTTAGCAGTAGATATTCTAATAAAGTGGGAAATTTCTATCGATAAATTTTGATAAAGTTATTTTCTTTTTAAAAAATTTTAGGTTACATTTGAATTTCGATCAGCTTTACATGCTACGTTAGCACATATGTTTTTCGATGAAGTTGTACGTCAAATGGTATCTGCTTTTCTTAAACGTGCTGCAAAACTTTATGGACCATCATCAATGCCCTCGAAACGTCTTCGATAAATTGTTGTTTTCTTTTTCTCAAAATTTATTTTTAAACTACTAGTATAGAACTTTTTTTTTTCTATATTCTTGTGTCTATCAAGATGATTAATACTTATTATTTTTAAGATAACAATTTTTTTTCTTGTTATAAATATTGATTACAAAGCGTTACTATTTAAAGACACGTTAAATCATATTAAATTTTGATTTCTGTTGTAAGAAATTTTTAATCTGTCAGACTACTCATCGATGATACAAAAATAAAGAACTATCTTGAATCCTTGATTATATTGAAAAGTGACATATTCGATATGACGGTATAAGGAATTCATATGAAATAGAAATCTATAGCTTTTACAAACTATTCGATCGCTCAATTGGCGCTCTAAAAAGTACTATATATCACATCGTCACTTAGTCTTTCAGTCAAGGTCAGAGTTGGGATATGATGATGCGTTTTAGATTTGATTGCTACTCTTATTCGATACTTTACATGAAAGTATATGGAGATGGTAATATCCTAGAATAGCAATTAAAAATTAAAAGACACTCTAGAACTTTCTTTTTATATTAATAAAATGAAGACAGTTCTAGTGACTAATTATATTTAACATGAATCAACCAGTATATTTTACTTTGATGAAAACATAGATAATTATAATACAGATCGTTAAGGTATTTCTAGTCCTAGATTGACGAAAAATCATTAAATTCAAAATTCAACACTAGATTCATAATCAATTAGGAAGCCTAATTAGGCTATGCATGATCAGAAGTTTCAAAGAAAAACTTATAGAACTTCCGACTCACACTCTTATTGATTTAAGGCTTCATTAATTCATGATGTACATCAACATCAAAAAAACCATTCAACGAAAGATCATTTTTGATTAATTTAATCAGCTTTTCTAACTCTAGATACTTCATTTGAAATGCAATTGATCATTCGTAAAAGCTATAGATTTCTATTTCATACGAATTTATTATGTCACTACGTCGAGCAATGTTGGTTTTCGATATTATCAAGTATCCAAGACAGATTTATATTGCTGTGTTATCACTAAATAGTCTGTACATACATCAGATTGAAAGTTTTTTAAAACAGAAGTCAAAATTTAATATAATTTAATACACCATTTTTTTACAAGAAGTCCAAGGATGCTTTTGGATTTTAAGCATTTAATTGCTTAAATTAATTCTAGTCTATTTTCGTGAAAAACGAAAGCATTTCAAAAAAGCTTTATTTACTAAAATGCTTTGAATTAATAGTTGCACATTAGAAACACTGAAGATTGTATAAAAAATTGGTGATCATTGTTGGACGAATCATTTTGAAATATGAAATGCTTTTATAAAATTAACCTAAAAAAATGNGGGGGGTGGGGGTGGGGGGGGGCGGGGCGGGGGCGGTGGGGGGCGGGGGGTGGTGGGTGAGCAGGGGGGGGGGGCGGCGGGAGGGAGCGTGGGGGGGGGGCGGAAGGGAATTGAAATATCAACCTTTATAGTTCAACATTCCTTTTAGGCCATGCTTCATAAAGTGCTAAAATAAATACCTAATATCGATATGAAGTATTATTCAACACTGGTTTTATGAATGGTCATATGTAAAACGTTATAATTCGAATGACTAAATAAACAACCAACGTTAACTGTATGAAGAAAGAATAAAAGTTTTTTTTCGATGAATCATGGAGCATGATATATTTGGAAAGTAATTACCTCATATATTGATATGCATCATGAAAATGTTTGCACATTTACTTTACTTCGAAAAATTGAAAGGAAAACTAATTGATTACTCAGTATATCGTATCATTAAATACGACGTTCACCTCCGCGAGACAACTTTCCTCCCATGAGTAATGAAGTATGACGTTCTTTTATTATGTTAATATTATGTATTTATAATGGTTTACATTTTATTATTTATTCTAGGTATTTGAAAGTAAACTTGTATTATTAAAAGGTGTTTCAGGTCTATGTTACCTCGTTTGTATATGTAAGTATATTAGTTTTCAATGAAAAGAAAAATATCCACTAAAATGTACGTCACTGTAATAAAAATTATTCTAGTGATTGAAAACAAAACAATTCCTTTTTTTAACTATCTCAATTAATAAATGGATGAACAATTTGATTTTCGAGCTTTATTACTTAAACTTCAAGATTGCTTATCAGATAATGATCGACGACGTCTTCATTTTATTTTTGGTGATACTATACCAAGACATTTACGTGATGATCCAACACTTGGTGGTACACTTAGTCTTCTTGAATCTCTTTTTGATCAAGCAATAATTAGTGAACAAGACTTTGATTATTTAATTCGTGCATTCAATGAAATACATTGTCATCAAGCGGTTAAACGACTTAAAGGTTTGTTTCTATTTTTGCAATGATTATTAATTCATTTACGCTCATATTTTAGAGCATCAATTAACTCAACATAGAAGACATCAAAATGAAACTACTATAGCAATTATTTCAGATTTAATCGACGATAATGAAGAGGATAAAATTTCTCATATTAGTAAGGTTTTAATGACACACTATAAAACAGTTGTTACATTAATAAAAATATTCTAGAAGATTTATCGAATTTTATATCATCAGATAATTCACAAGAGCGTCATTCTACAGCAAGTCAAACAACAACGATATCATTCAATGAAATCGATATTAATAAAGACCAATTACCTCTAACAAAAACGCCAATTCAATCTGAAAAAAAACAATTTAAGATAGATTTAATATTTTTAAAACAAACACTTAAATCACGATTAACAATCTGTCAACTTATTTCATATATTTTCAATATTATCTGCATTTTAATTTTAATATTACTTATTGTTTTGTTAACAAAATCAAAGCGTTCTATTTCTTCAAGTATATTTTTCAAAAAAAATTATTATTATTATTATTATTTTTTTATGCATAGATATTTTATTGGTCAAACTAGGCAATTTCTCTGGTAATATAGCAGGTGGATATGAATTTACTGATGCTCAAGATTGTCAATTAACTTTTAATGAGAAAGTAGTAAATATTACTGCTGCTTGGACATCTGATACTCTTGATTATGTAAGTTTTCTTTATTCAAATAAAAAATCGATGCAACATGGTCGTCAAACGTATCGTTATTCACCATACATGTCTGAGTTTGTTTTGAATCCTGAAGAAAGTGTTAATGGTGTAACAATTTATACAGGTACACGTCTTATTGATAATCCTTTCGCACCGAATGGTACATATCTTGTTGTTGGTTTACGTTTTTATACAAATAAAGGACGATCAAGTGAATTATTTGGTTCATCTAATGGAACACAAATAGATGAATTTTTTCCAGATTTTACAATCGCTTATATTCGAGGTCGAGCACTTGGATATGTCGATGGATTACAATTTATTTGGTATAGACAAACTTCATCATCGGATGTTGCAACTTTACTAACGTATTAATTATTTATAACTTTATATATCAATCGAGAGAAGATTATTAAATATCAATTCTTAAATTGTTAGTATGTAGAATAAATATTTTTATACAAATATTGACATTACGTATAAATTTCTTCTCTTGTATCATAGTAAAATTTTTCCAAAAGTTTTTTTTTTTGTAATTGAAATCTGAGAAAAACTTTAAAATGATTTTTTGCTAAGATCTATATGTAAAATTTATCACGAACCAGTAAATACAATACAGAAATATTAAGAGTGCGATAAAAATATGATTTTTTTTTCTGAATGATCTAATTTGTCTCTATCCATTTCTTCTTGTTACATTTACATTTCATTATTGATATTATCATTATAAATTTGAAAACTATTTGTAAGAGATTAAATATCGTGAAAAATCTTTTCTTTGTACAATGAAATATTTATTTCTTCGTTTTCTTGTTGTTTCCAAACATGACTATCAATTCGAAAATGATTATTTTTTTCCCTTAATGATATATACCGAGTTCCATTTGCATGTAATAATATTTCATTTTTTTCGGATCTTTAACTATTGGATATCGACCAAAAACAAGATGAATAATAATTTTTCTTTTGAAAACTTATTATAACTATTTGGTTATCAGTTAACTTCTTGGTACTACAACTACTTGCCGAGTTAGGCCTTTTGTCGTTCGAAAAAGGTTTTTCATTACAAAGTATGAAAAGTTTGGTGATGCTTTATATAGCCATGCACTATAATCTTTTGATTGGTTCTGAATCAAAGTCAAAAGTTGAAGATTGCTGATGATTAAAAAACACACTACAATTCAAAAGATGATTTGATGTCATTGATGCACTTGTCAAAAAAGAATACCCATATCATTGATAAATTTTTCAATCCTTTAGACATTGTCTATCTGCACAGTAAACAGACTACATTAGTCTATGATCACATCAATGTCGAAATTAGAGTATACTGACAACGTAATGAAACTGATTCTGAAAAGCTGACCTAAACACTATATGAATTATATCATTGATATAGAGTACTTATGGCAATCAATTTTTCTGATCAATTAAGACTATTAATTTGATTTCAGTTGCATCTTATGTATGCACTTTTCTCAAGTAAAGTCTTTTGTACTCTTGTTAAAACGCCATTGTAGTATACACCTAAACATTGTGTTAAACTCACTTTTTCTAAAGCTAAGATTCAGTGCATTTCAACAGTGGATGTGGGTCATGGCTTAAAGCGAACCTCTTTTTTATGGTTCGACTTGGCTCAAAGGAAAAAAGCCTCAAATGACTAACACCTAAAGCAAAAGCAATCGCATAGAAATTTATAATCATTTTCCTAATTTTTGAGTATTCCTAGTAGATTTGAATAAAGTATTTCATCAATAGTTACATCTCATTATTGTTGAAAGTTTCTTTTTCTTCATATATTAAGACACAAACTGTCAAATGATTCAAATAGTTCTTAAAAATACTTTCAAGCGAAATTATTAATGACAATCTTTTAAAATTACTTTATAACTATCTGAAAATTCGATAAAACGATTACAAATCATAGACTCATAGGAATATACTTCTAAGCAGAGTATACACTGTAAAAAATAAGTATAGAATAAGAAATCCTTACTATCCATTGATTACCATTATATAAATCTTTTCTCTGCATTAACTTGAGGAAAGATGTGAACAGGGTTTATGTAATAGTAATAAATTAATAGTGACGGTTTATTATGCTATACTTTGTTGTGCAGTATAGAAATAAATAATGTGAAGACGGTTAAGAATTTCTCTCTTATAGTCATTAAGATTTTCAAGTGACACACTTGACTTTTTCTTGCACCGGTTTTTTTTTTGATGAATCAACAATAGAATATTCAATTTTTCTCATTTAAACTAGAAGATGTTGTATATGAGGATGATTCTTGCACTGATGTTCATCATTCAGTACATAATAACACTACTGAAGATAAAACCAAGGACATCAAACATATACAATTTTGATTTTTCCTTCTTTTTAGCAAAGAGACTACGTCTTTTATCAAATGAGTATAATATATTTAAAGGATCATTGAGTGAAAATGAAAAAATTCATCAATTGAGATTAACAAAACATTGTATCATTATATTTATTTCTAAATATTTTAATCATTTTAACTTTATCAATAGTTTATCAATTTCTTAGATAATCATCTCAAAAAGCCTTGGTTGATGTTCAAGGTAAGGTTATTTAGAAATATCAATAAAATTATGTTTTTTTTTTTCTTTCTCTTATTATATAAGTAGTTGTTATGAAAAGAAGAGATTCTTTTGATAATTCAGGAAATGAAGAATTATGGGATTATGTGGAGAGTGTTAAATTCATTTTTAACAATACTATAACTCATGTGAGAGCTTTATAATTATTTCATTTAAGTGGTTTGTTTTTAAGTCTATTGATCAAAAGTAAGCGTTCTATTTTTATAATTATTTTTGGGTTCGTCATTGTTATTTTCTTTAACCTTCAATTATTCACATAGTAGAAACAGTCAAAGAATAGAATGATATTGCTTGTCGTGAATGATGAAAAAATTTAAAGACATTTAAATCATATCCTAGCAAACATATTCATATAAGTAATCATATATTGATATAAATATTGTTTAAAAGAATTCATTAATTATTGAATAAAATAATACTAAAATCAATATTATTTTCTATTCCATTATGTATTGATGATTATATATAAAGAAAACAAAATAAAAAAAGAAAATGATGTTTTTTTACATTTGCTTGATAATATAAGTGCAATCAATGCTTATTAAAAATAATGATCTTCAATCGACGATGATCTCTTTAAATATGAAAATAAATATTTATCAAATATAATTACTTTATAGAATGATGATAGTGCAAATTAAAGAAAACATGAAGAATACCCTATCATACTACTGTCAACACTTCAAACAACAATCATAATCAAGGTCTCAACTCAAAATATATTAAAAGTCCTTGGTATTATTACTAAACGAAACTAAAGAATAACTCTTGAAAAGTTAATCGAACCGATAATAATTTAGAAGAGAATATGATAAACATATAGATATATAATTATTCTAGTATATTTTTCTTGTATAGAATAGATCAGTAGACCTAGTAAAAGAACCTCTATAAAATCAATTAGAAATAAATAAATAGATAAATAAATTCTGAATAAATTATTTTTATCATATTATAGCATTCATAACAATGAAATGTATTTCAATGAAGAATTCATGATAAGAAAACGATGAGTAATTTAATCATCATCATCTGTAATATGTTTTTCTTTTATTCTCTAATAAAAGATGTATAATGTCTTATGTATCGAAAATATTGTCAACGATCAATATTAAATAAATGTAACTTGATTTGTGGGCTGTAAACTAGCTAATTAGATTTACATTTCAACGATCGTACAATTCGGATACAGTAAGGGGTCACATTGATCTAAACGAGTTTCAATGAAAATAATTTAAGAAAATAATTCTCTTGAAGAATAATACCATGTTAAAATATTATTCAGTAGAGAAAAATAAAAATATTAATTTCCATACAGGAGAGATAAGAGTATTCATGAGTAAATAATGAAGATTTAGATCGAAATAAATTCACGAAAATGATTTCCCTTTAGATTAAAAACAATCTGATCGTGTTTTCATCATATTAGCAATTAAATCTTTAGTTTTACATTCGTTTCAATTTAATTTTTTTTATTAATTAAAACCTAGATTTTCACATTGAATACAATTGCAATAAACTTTTTAACTTGTTTACATAATATATAAAACCTAAACAAGATGAATAACTATATTGAGCTAATTAAAAATTATTGATAAGTACAATAATTCTTCCATTATCCTACCAAGCAAAACTTACATGTTTGTTCTTAAGGGAAATCTCTTTTTTTCTTTATGTTTCTTTTTATATCGTTTTATTTTTGTTATATTCTTTTGTAAGAATAAAAGCTAATCTCTTGGGATTTTTATTCAAAAAAAAAAAAGAAACAGGAAAACCTATCAAATAATATAACAATAATACATCGAGTGTATTTTTGATTACATATAATCAGCATGAAACAAAAGTGTCGAAAGCATTTCATATCAAAACAGGTAAAACAAGAACAAATTACTGTTTGATTATTGTATATTAAGTTTATCAGATCTTCTGTTAAGTATCATCCAGATGGACACATACTAATATACAATGATTTATCTTTTGTTTTCTTTTTGTATAATGTTATAATTTATAGATATGACAACGGTGCTTCGCCTTAATGATTTTTGGCTTGTTTTCCTGCGAGTGCATCGCAACAGTTATTTGTGCCCAATATCTATACATAAAAAATATAAATTTGCCTGTCAAAGACGATAAGTTTAAGAACAGCCACTTGTTTTCCACATTTCATGACAAAAAAATGTGGATAGCATACGAGATAATAAGTAAAGGAGAAAAAGAAAAAAACAGACAAAATATGTTATCATCTTTTCTTTCGTTCTATTTGGTGTCAATGTAACCATAACAAACCTTTTCCGCATGAACTCAGTCATTTTTTTCTTTTTTTTTTTTGAAAAATTCAACGCAGTAAATATTGTGAAGTCAAATGACAACCAATCTAAAATTTAATATCCCATGCTGCTAGTGAGATAAAAATTTTTTTTGCATGGAATGGGAAATCCTGTTCATCATTCATGTGTAAAATAAGTAATTATTTCAACTTTTTTGCACATTGACATTTACTGATGTCGCTTGTTTTTTACTGTTTAATTTTTTTTTTCATGTCTATTTTCTTTACATTCAAATATAGTCTCATCTAATTGTGAATCTGTGAAGTCAACTAGTATATAAGATATGTTAAAGGAAATGTTTTAATCGTCCTTTAATGAAAATGACTGTCGTTACCAGAAGAAAAAAAAGACTTTTTTTGTTACTAGGCAATCGTAAAATCTTTTTTCTTTTTGTTGAATGAGAAAAGAAGAAAAGCTTTGACAAGAAATTCATTCATTTGTAACCGACTGTTGACATGAGTGTCAAATATTTAATATGTAATTGACTACATATTTTTAAAAAACATCTATAGGTTTGGTTTGTTTTATCATATATTCTATGTCCCATGAGATTGTTCTATAGAATTTATTTATTAAATTATGTATATGTAAATAAATCATATACACAATCAAGTTTTTTTTCAATACTTGCTCGACATTGTTTTTATCTTGCATACACAAAACAATGCTTCGAGCTTCTCAGATCATTTTTTGCGAGATAGAGAAGACCACATGGTATGATTAGATGTATGTGTCATGTTTGACATTGCTTGTTTGCATTGGATCATCGAGCTAGATCCCAACTTTTATGATGCAAACAATTTGTCTTTGATTAATAAACAGATAACTTGAAAGATTCTATGTTAGATATAAATAGTCAATTATATTTCTATAAATCTTTGTTTTCTTGTTTCATTAATGATATAAAAGATTAGAATGAACAATCTGTTTTATTGTGATTAATTTTTCTTAGGATTGAACATAGAAAATATTGAGTTTTTCTTTCGAGAAATAACTTTGAAGAAAAAGATTTAATTATCATGTATGTCAAATGTGAAAAACAAAATTCATTTATTTTTCTTTTATAACATGACATTTAGTTAAATTTTGAATAATATTGATGTATGTAGACAAAATATATTCAATTAATATACTAATTTTACAAAAACATCCGGAATCTTTCAAAGAAATAAAGACAAAAATAAATGTAAAAATTTTTTTTTAAATTCATGGGTTAGATCACTATTATCTATAGTTGAAAATTGCCATAAAGATTTTTGCTTTCATGTTTGTAGATATCTTTGAAAATTTATCTACTTCATCAGGTTATACACATTACTACTGTGCTAACTCATGTGCATAAGCTGCAAAAAAAGTGAAATTGTAATAGATTATGTCGATTATAAACATCTTTTATGAAGCCGACTTACATGTAGACTACTTTTTCTTGTCTCTCATTTAAGTGTAAAATAATGAACGCAATGACAAAATGATCCACTTCCAAGCAAATGTATGAGATAGTTGAGAACACGAAGTACTAATTGTAATATTAATGTCCACCCACACTTTCTGTCTCTCTTATTCTTGTTTCTGCCTATCCAAATAACGACGATTGAGTTGTGTTTTTCTACAATATGTCTTCATTATTTTTTCTCACTTGATTGCTTCTTTTTTTCTTTGCCTTTCTTCTTTGAGTTTCTATCTATCTATTTCTCTTTCCTTTCTCTATTTCTTTGTATTATTAGTATTCGAATCTGTTTTTTTTTTTCTAGAAAAAAGAAATCTAAACGAAATTAACGAGAAAAGAAAAGAGAAATAAATGTCACTCAATTAATCAGTCAATTTTTTACTAATTCATTTTGCAATTTTGAACGTATGTATATGTGTCTGTTCTACATGCTATTTTGATGATAGATGAGACAGGTCCTTGTCGTCGTCGTCGTTAGAAAGATCTTATGAGGAATCAAAGGCAAAAGACAATGACGAAACGAGATGTAAAGACATAGCCAGAAAACTTTAAGATAACTATGTCAAGACAAGTGCACTTGAAGCTTTTTTTTTGTTGTTGTATGTATGTGATTTAGTTTTCGCAGAATACACATACATATCCTAATAGTGATTTTTGCTTGATAATTTAACAGACAACAGACGAATGATTACTATCATATAGCGAATAGATCATTGTCGACACGTGTCAATTGTCCCAGTGGCAGAATATAGGAGAGTAAGCGGCATATAAACATGTATATGTATGTACGAGCAAAAGATAAATAATTGAAAAACACATAAACTATTATCATCAGTTTTGTTAGTATTGTTTACATGCATAAGACCTATCATATTATCGGTTTTTTTTTCTTTATGTGTCTTCCTAAGCTGCTTATTTCAATTTAGATAAGAAATCTTTACGTAAGCTTTTCTTTCTCTATTTTACTCAAACTTGACGTTTTGTTGTTATTGTTTATAGATCAAAGTTATTTTTTCTCCCTTTGATTACATGAAAATAAAATAATTAACTGAATTTGATGTCTTACAATTAATGAATAGTACATTTGATAACTTTTTATGTTTTGTTACTAATCGTTTGTTTTTCTAGTAAATAATTGAATAGTCTTCCGTAGGTCAAATTATAACAAAAAAATTTTCTATTCTATTCTATTCTGTTCTTTCCTTCTTTTTATTGTTTGCTTATTTATGTAACGAAGTAAACAAAAGACAATGACGAGCAATGTTCATTAGTCTATATTGTCTTATCTGTTTTTCTAAACGAAAACCTTATTGAATTGTCATTCTAACGTATGCAACGAACTTGTCACTATATATTGCCTTCGGCTCTTGACAGAGCTAAACAACAGTATATCTTAGCTTTTACGACCAATCGATAACGAAGCAGCAGAACAAGAAGAAGTAGAAGAAAAGAAGAAGAAGAAGAAGAAAGACTAAGGAATACTTAGTTGTTTTCGTTCGCTTGTACGTTCGTTTGCTTTGTCATTCAGTCACTTACTCAGTCACTCGTTTGCTCGATCGATCAATCACTCATTCTTGTGTCGATGAGAAGTCTAGTAGGAAATGACACCGAAAACAAACGGTGGGAATTCACTTTATCTCAAAATCAGTTCCGTTCTTTTCTAAATTGCCATGGTCATTTCTTATTTTCTTTGTTCTCTACTACTATTACTACTCATACTTCTTTTCATAGCAATACTAACTATGCTGATGCAGAAACACATGCATATGTGGAAAAAGTTCTCATTTTTTTTTGCTTCCGTGAGAAAAGAAAACATATAGACAGACGAGAAGAAACTTTCTTCTTCTTTTTTTTTTTTTATATTCTTCAGATCTGCCGTGTGCTTCTACGAATTCTTACTTTCCTTTTCTTGAGCTACATCATATTATTATCACCACCGTTGACAGCTTCTTAGATTTATATATATATACATCGCTGTCATCATTGTTTCTTGCTGACATAAGAGACGTTTGAGAAGTATATAGACAAAAAAAAGTGATAATTAGTTTTTTTAGATTATTATCAAAGTAAGAAATCAAGTGCATAGTTCTTTTCTTTTTACAAACCGATTTTCTTTGTACGAAAAACAAAGAAGACAAAAGAATTGATTAGAACTGAGAATTGTGACTACGAAACTATCATGTTTTCAATCTTATCGAACATGCACAATATTTTTGTATGAACTCTAGGACAAATCAGATCAAACTAAACAATAATCATTATTCAATATGACAGTCAGTATGTGCAATTCTATGTAATAATAACAATAAGTAATAATGAAAAGGAAGGATAATTAAGAACTTGTCACAATCAACATAAGAAGTCGTGAATGATACGTAGGATGTTTATATTCTACTACGACTATATGACACTTAAAAAAACGTAGTTTTTTTTATGAGAATAAGAAATCTATTAAATCCACTTTGAAATTTATCAAGACGATATCTTTCAATCCGTTTAGTGCGCATAGGATTTAATAGCTATTTTTACTTTATTAGATAGAAAAAATAATATTTCTATCGAACTAATGTATGAAAACACAAACTCTTTCTTGTTAGATAGTTTCTTATAATTATAAAAATCCTAATAAATAATCATCTTTTATTTTCATTTTAGTTAATAATAATCATAATAACAATAATAATAATAATAGTTATGAATTTTTAAGCATAATGAGTACAGAAACAAATCATCTGGACGTTATTGAATTAAATGTAGGTGGTGTAACATATGCAACAACATTAGGTACATTACAACAAGCTGAACCCGAATCACCACTTGCTATTATATCTACATTAAATACAGCTGAAATTAGAACAATATTTGGACGTGATAGCAAAAATCGTATATTTATCGATCGAGATGGTGTTCTCTTTCGTTATGTACTTGATTATTTACGGAATAAAAAATTATCTTTACCAGAAAATTTTGCTGAACGTGATCGTCTTCAAGTAGAAGCTGATTACTATCGACTTGATAGTATGAGTAGAACATTAACACAAAGTCGTCCAAATACAAGTTCAAATGTAAAATATATAAATGAACATATGAACAATGTAACAATAGGAGCTACTACAACTATGCATCCAATTACACCATTAATTGGTTCAAATTTTGGTCCTCGTTCTAATAGTGGATATATTGTTGTTGGATATCGAGGCACATTTGGTAAGTTAAATTTTAAGAAAAAAATTATTTTATTAAATATAAAATTATTTTTCTAGCCTTTGGTCGTGATGGTTTAGCTGATGTTAAATTTCGAAAAATATCACGTATACTTGTTTGCGGTCGTGTACATCTCTGTCGTGAAGTATTTGGCGAAACATTAAATGAATCTCGAGATCCTGATCATGGTCAAACAGATCGATATACATCTCGTTTTTTTCTTAAACATACCTTTCTTGAACAAGCTTTTGATATGCTTAGTGAAGCATCATTTTTAATGGTAAGTCAATAAAAAATACAATTTATTTTTTCTTTATTCATGAATAGAATAATATATTATTATTTATATTTCTTTTCTAGGTTGGTTGTGCAGCAAGTGGATGTAGTAGTTCAACTAGTGAACTTGGCAAACAAACTGACAGTGAAGAAAATCGTTGGTTACATTATAATGAGTTTGTCTTTTATCGCAGTTGATTATCTGTATTTTATTTCTTTGTCTTAATTGTTCATTTTTTCTTGTGGCGGTCCCCTTTCTTTTTTTTCTTTCTATTGAACAAACTCTATATAAACAACCGGTATGCAATTTTTATTTTCCTCTATGCTCGTGTATCTTCATCTTTTTGTAGTTAACAAAAGAAAAGTGACAGACAAAGAAATAAGAAATGTTTGTGCTATTTTTTTTTTCAATGCATAAAAATAATCATGATTACCGATATTAACCAAATTATAATTTTAATTTTTCAAGAGCATGTTTTTTTTTTTCAAGTTGATCAAAATAATCACACACATATACAAATGATTATTTTTTATAATTAATGATTAAAATATAAAAAGAAATAAACAAAAAAAAATGCACAATAGAGTAACACTTATTTCTTCCTTTAACTCTTTCTCTCTCTCTATTCTTTATTTCTTAATTGTTGTTCTTTGAGTTTCTTTGCTCGCCATGCTTTATCGGTTCCATGAAGTCGATCTAGTATACCTAACAGACCAAAATTATTTGTAAATTGTGCATGATGAAAATCGTGAAAAGTTGGATTATTTAGACCACTTCCTAATATTCCTGGTAATTGGTATCCAGAATGATGATTTATTGTGCCCAAAAGAGCAAAGAAAAGCCATAACCATGTGGTTAACAAATGCGATCGAAATATTAATGGACCAGCAACAACAGGACCAATATTAGATATAAGGAATTCAATAGGATGTGCATATTCACATGCCATACCAATAGGTGCTCGAAACCGATGATGTTTTTTATGCACATATTCATATATGAATGACAGATGCTATGAAAAGAAGAATGTTATTAAGTATACTGAAACTCTCAATTATTATTTTTTTTTCATTTTTACAAGCATAAGATGACTGTAATAGAAGAAGATTTCAGTTACGCCTATAAAACAAAGTAGCTCGAACAAAATTTGATACCTATAGAATAATAGAATAATATATCAATGGGAAAATTTGCGTCTTTCAATGAATACGATACCATGGTGGAAATGGTATATTCCATCGAAGATTCAAATGCATGAATAATGGGCAAATTAATATAAGACAAGGAAAAAGAATAAATAGTTGATTTATTAATACTGTTTTTGTACATTCTTTAACTGATTTTACATCTACATGAATATCCTATAGGAAAAAAACAACAATAACATGATACTAAAGTTAATTTATTAAAACAACCTTTTGAATTTTATATTTCACAGAACGATCTGGATAAATAACATACGTTAAAAGTAATATAATTCCATTAGTAATCCAGAATATAAATTGATGAAGTACAAATGTACCAATTATAATTAAAATTGGATCAGAAAAATGCATGACTTTTATTGCGAATGTTTAACAGATTTTTTTTTTGTCTAATTCTTATCTGCTTCTTTTCTAACTCAGAATGGCGTTTCTTTATTATTATATTTATGTGCAAGAATATAAAAACAACAAATGTTTAAGTAAGATACACAGAAAACAAAAAGAACGGCTAATGTTGTTTTTTTTATGATGTAAAATGAGTATTTTTTCGTTCGGAAGGTGGCCCTTCGCCTGCCGTACCTTTGCCTGTACCACCTAATGATTCAGGTGTTGGTGGAACAGTTGATGGTTTTGGTGTTGAAACTAATCAATTAAATATTTTAAAAAAAGCAAAACTTTAATTTAAATTTAAAACCTGTATCACTCCATTCGATAATATCCATTTTTTGTTTATTAGGATAAGGTGAAGGACCAATAAGTCTTACAATATCATCATAATTAAGTGTTTCATGTTTTAATAATTCTTCTGCTAACTAAAAATACATCAGTTTTTTCGATAAATAATATTTTTATTCAATGAATAATATTCACATACAATATCGAGTTTAGCTCGATTTTCAGTCATTAACTTTTCAGTCCGTTTAAAAGCATTAGCAAGACGTTGTTGTGCTTCCTAAAAATGAACGCAATAAAAAGATCAATTAATATATAATCTTTTAACCATTAAAAAAAATCTGATTTCAGAAATGTGATAGTCATTGAGTGTAAAACTTCAGAACGGAAAAAGCATGATTTATATACACATCGGATATGAAAATAATTTACAATAAATTTGTCAATAATGTCTGTTTCTTGTCAACTCATTGACATTTACCTGAACATTTCGTCCATACTTTCTTTTGTCTAGGTAGGATCAATAGGTACAGCAAAAGCACATTATCGATTATAATAGGCTATTATTTTTCTAAGTCACATAAATCAAAATATTTACTTAGGATATATTCTTTTTCAAAATACATGTCATGATATGATTTAACTTCTATTTTAATTTGATCTTCAGAAAAACAACTTCAAATAATATTAATGAAAAATCAGATCGAAAACTTCTTGAATAAGTTTTGTGAAACATAATCTAACCGTATTGATATTATACGGGTAGATATTTGAATCTACCACGCACAGACATGGCAAACATCTTAGCAATGACACATCAATGACGCGATAGACGTCTTTAGCAAGGTCTCCCCTTCATCACACATATTATGACAGATACTAACATAGAAATGACACAAATCATGACAAACACTTTAGCAACGCTCCCCTATTTGTGTCACAGATCGTGATAGATGTTGTTTATACACGTTTTAAGACCATATATCAATCACATCTTGTTACACTATATGAACTATTTCGCTATTGCATTTTTTGGAGGATTAAATCCAGCAACTATGTCATGTTTCATACTTTAATCCCACAAAGGTTGTGCTAACAGGTTTATTAACGAGTATCAAATTATATTATCAGTTCTGTTATATATATATATATATATACAATAGCATATGTATTCTTAACAGATCATTACCTCATCCATCATACGTTGTAATCGTTTACTATATGGCTTCACACCAAAATCATCATTCCGTGGATTCTGTTGATCAGCAGGAAAAGAAATCAATCCAATTGTTTTACTCATACCATATTGTTTTATTTGAGCATAAGCTAATTTTGTCGCTCGTTTTAAATCATCTTGAGCTCTAAAAAAAATTTTAAAAAGTTAATATTTTAATTTTTGATTTCATATGAATTTCAAATAGAATATAAACCCTGTTGAGATTTTATTAAATACAATTTGTTCTGCAACTCGACCAGCTAACATAACACATAGATCTTCATCAAACTAAAAAATAAAAATAAAATCTTTGAAATTTTATCCATTGTTATTTTACTTCTTCTTCATGTAATAATTTTTTATCTTTTGGCATATATTGTGCAAAACCAAGAGCTGGTCCAGTTCTTGGTACAATTGTTACTTTTAATGGTAAACATGTTGTCTTTAATAACCAACCAATAAGAACATGACCACTTTCATGATAAGCTACAGCATGTTTTTCTGTTGGTGCCATTGTATTAGCTTTTTTAGCTGCACCAGCAACAACACGTTCAACAGCAATTTCAAAATCATTTCGTTCAATAACTTTTTTTCCTTCACGAGCAGCATGTAATGCAGCTTCATTACATATATTTGCTAAATCAGCTCCTATATACATATATATATGTTTAAAAAGGTTTTTTTCTTGAAGTTATTTATTATAAATCATACCACTCATTCCTGGTGTTAATTGTGCTAAACGTGTTGAATAAAATTTAATATCTTTTTCTAATTTAAGTTTTTTTAAATAAACTTCTAAGATTTCAATACGTTCAGGTAATGTTGGATAATCAATAAGTATATGTCGATCAAAACGACCGGGTCGAAGTAATGCCTAGAAATAAAATTTAATTTAAGAAAAAAAAAAAGAAAATTTATTTCAAATGACTTTATCAAGAACATCTGGTCGATTTGTTGATGCAAGCATGATTACATTGGATTTTGATTCAAGACCATCCATTTCAACTAATACTAAAAAAAAAAAAGAAGAAGTAGAAACAAGATATAATTAAAATAATAAATTAATTAGATTACATTGATTTAATGTATGTTCTTGTTCACCACTCGACATAAAACTTGATTTATTTCTATAAATACAAAAAAATAAAACAAAGTTAAAACAAGCTCTTTTTTATATATATGAATAATTATTTTTCGTACTCTCCACGTCTTTTTTTGCCAATAGCATCAATTTCATCTATATATATAATACATGGAGATCGTTTACGTGCTTCTCGAAATAAATCTCGAACACGAGCAGCTCCAAGACCTGAATGAAGCAAATTACAAAAAAAAATTCTATTTGGATTTTCTTGTTTTCACTTACCACCAATAACTTCAACAAATTCTGATCCAGCCATTGAAAGAAATGGTACACCAGCTTCAGCAGCTATTGCTTTAGCTAATAATGTTTTACCAATACCTGGCGGACCAAGAAGTAAAGCACCTTTTGGAACTTTTGCTCCTAATTCCTAAATAAATTCAAGAAGATTTTTTTATTGTCTAAAAAACTAACATATTATTTTCATACAACAAATTTTTGTGGTGATTTGATATATTCAACAAATTCCATAACTTCTTGTTTAGCTTCTCGCATACCAGCAACATCACGAAATGAGATTTTCGGTATGTTTACTTTTATATGGGGATCAACCATAGTAAATTTTGCTTTTGTCTATAGAATTAAAATAATTAGAAAAAAAAAATTTATTTCCCCAAATATAAACATACCATCATATCCATCGGATTAGCGAAATTCATTTTAACACGAGATTTTAGAAAAGCAAATAAAAGTAAAATAGTTGAAAGAAAAAAAATAACAGCTGGCCATTGACTATTAAAACAAACAGTTTTCAAGTATTTAATTTAAAAATTATTTTCAATTGTGGGCATTTTTTTAAATAGATATCTGACCAATGGAACTGAATTACTTTTTCTCCAAACTTATTCATTAAATCTTTCGACTAGATAAAATTTTTTTTATAATTTTATTTTTAGGAGAGTGAAATTAACTTTAATAGAAATTTCTTATTGATTTCTATTCATATATGATTTATTAATGGCAAAAAAAAAGATACCCACAATTAAGATGTATTAATATTTTCAAACCTATTTCGTGTATAACTGACTAATATTCGATGTGTTGGATCAATATTCAAATCCGATTCAACTTTTCGTAATTTTTCTTCAAATTTCTCAACATTACTTATTTTCATAACAAATGTATCTCGATCAAAAAGCTAAAATAAAACATATTATTTTAGAAGAAAAAAATAAATAAATATTATGATTCTACTTTTCGTCCTTTTATAACAGGTTGTGGATGTAATTTTATATAAGCAAGTTCTTCTTCGATATGAATAATAACTTCTTCAACCTAATTGTTTTTTTTTTTACAAAATGAAAAAAGTACTTTGTTTGTTTTTTCGACAATGAATATATTCGACTAACTTCTCCTTTAGATAACATATCTTGAACAAATTCATTCCATGATATATAACCTTGAGTAAGTCCATTAGCTCCACGTTGTTTTTCTCGGCTTGAAATGATATATGCTACAATCATAGATAGAAGAAATATAGCAAGTAATATTCGAGGATTCATAGGAGGAAGTGGTGGTTGTTGCTGTTGTCTATTTGGATCATCATCTAAGAAGAAAAAGATCGTTAGAATATTTAGATAAACAAAAAACAATGATTTTTATACTATTTGTTGATGAACTTTGATTATCAGATACATTTCCTCTACCACTTCCAGGTTCTGGTGGAAAATTTCGTGGATCATTTTTAATTGATGACATCACTATATATATAATATAATTATCTATCAAAAAAGAAATTTTTGCATTTGTACTGAGAAATTCTTTATCGTTTATAGATAATGAATGTAGAACAGTGTTGAACCATTTTCGAAATGGCTAAAAGAATATATATAAAATAAAAAAGAACCATTTCTGATTGATCACATACTCTATTATTTTCGACTAAATTTTTTATTAATGTTGAACTAGGTTGAATATTAAAAGCATTTGATTGAAGACTTAACTAAAAAAAGAAAATCAATCTTCATAATATATTTTTTTTTAGCATTTCGAAAGTATTTTTAATCTTAGTTTACTTAAATGAGATTACGATTGATACTCAAATAATTATTTCACATTAGAAGAAACAAAATAAAAACTACAACTTCTATTATTTAGAGATCTGTATGAAATAAAATGAATTAACTAACAAGAGATAGGATCGATTTGACTTTAAAAAAAACCGCGAACTAATTCGATCTCACTTAACAAATAAAAAAAAAATATTGATTAATTGCTAATGAAACATCTATAAACAAAGGAATATTCACAGGAAAAATCTAATCATATTGTTTTATCTTTGAATAGAATTTTTTTTTAAAATCTAAATGCAATATAAAGTTTGCAAATTCTCTTTTTCAAATGTATTTTATAGATTTATTCTGTAAACAAGATCAGTGCCTGAAAATTCATCCGGTTCTTCAAATTTGACTATTGGAACTATTAATAAGATTCATTTTATTTCTAGAAAATTTGAACTACAAAAAAAAAAAAATGAGAAAACAGAATTCTGATCGATTCTTGATTTTAAATATTGCACACAACTCAGAATAAACTGCACAATCTCAGAACTATAACGACTTGCTTTATTCTTTCATTACAGCAGGTTATATAAGTTTTCCATGTGAAAGAAAAATCTACTGTGAAACCTGATATATTATTAAGTAAGATAACTGCTTTTTTTGCTTATATTTAACTTTCACTTCAAAAATTGAACTTCTCCTTTGATGAATATGTAACAAAATTTCTTCTTTAGCAATAAATTATTTACTTGTTGTTGATGATGGTTATATGACGTAGATGTAGTGTATAATAATGAATGATCAATAATATGTGATAAACGTTTCAATTGAAACTGTTTAATAAAATTCAGACGTGATGATATATTCATTTTACTCAAATATCTAGAGAGAATGATGATCAATTGATGTTTTTTTTATATCTCGATTTATATTCTTTCTATCTATAGTTGTTGTTTATAATTTTATTAAATGTTTTTTCTTTTTTCTTATTTGTATCAAAACAGAAAACAAACAAATCGGATGATGTTTAAAAATGTTCCTGTATGATGATGATGCTGACAATTTCATTGTTTTTAAAATCGTAATTTTTGAAAAAACCATTTATGTTTGCCTGTTTTGTATCTATAATTAAATAAAAAATAAAAATTTTTAAAAATATTTAACAAAATTTTTCTTTTACCGTTCTTCGAATTTTTCTTTTACATCTCGAAGAGCTTTTCGTCGGAGACCAGCATCACGAAATACTTCTTTATTGATTAAACTTTTTTCAAAGTTAATATCAACCGTATATCTATAAAGTTTTGTTTTTATTAATAAAACAAAAGTTAGAAATTTTTTACCGAGTTGCCATTAAATGATTATAGTTAACAACTTTAGTAAATGTTTTTATTTTATTACGACGTGCTTGTTTTTTCTTTCCCATTTGTTTTGTTATTTTACGTGGATAACGAGAGATACCAGCAACAAGTGCATGACCATAACCTCGTTCATTACTACCTTCATCATATGGCTAGAAAAAAACATAAATAAAAACTTTTCGAAGAAAAAATTATATGAAATAAAAACTTTACTTTAATAATCACAGCCTTTCGGCCAGCATAACGGCCGGCTAAGACTATGACTACTTTTTGACTTTTCATGACTTTCACCATGATTGATGTTATTTATTGGAAAATCTGAAAAGAAATTAGATCTTTAGAAAGTTTCGAATGTACAGAAAAAAAATAACAATAACAAGTAGATATACATGATGAAAAGCTTTATCATTTGATTGGTTAATAGTTTTGGCGTGTAGGCCTCTGCAATATATACATGGAGGATATTTTCATAGGAAATTTCATTGCTCACATAACTAACCACTCAGTAACTAGGATTCAATAAATATTCATTTCGTAGTTTGAATAGAAGTGAGTTTGAAGAATACTGAAGAATTTTGAGTGTCAGTGAGATGTTTTTTCTGAAGATGTTCAAAATTACAGGTCGAAATACTGTCATTCGATTAGTTCGAATATACCTTGCCGTAAACAAAAATTTCAATAAATTGTCTATAGCTCTGAAGAAAAAGTCTGAGAGCACTACTTATCCTATTACAGTTTTATAATACCGTACGAGGATCTACTTTATGCACAGAGTCCGAACTCAAAAGCGATTATTGACTTGAAATGATTTCATCGTAAGAATTCAGTTACGAAAAAGAAAAAGTTTAGAAATTTTTCTATTGGTATTAGCAGATATTAGTGAAATACTAATGTGGTGTTAGAAGGCTTTCAATTTTTTCCCAGTTCAAATAATTATTTGAAATTCATAATTTGTTGGAAATCTGTAGAATCAAGATAACGACATCGATATTTTTGTTATGTTTATCTCGATGTTTGTTACAAATGTGAGCGCTAGTGGATATTGTTTTTTTTATTAATAGCTGATATTTGAAGGTTTTTTAATTTTTTGATTAGATTAAAGAATGAAATCAATCTATCAACTATCTTGCTAAGACAGAAAAAAAAATAAATATAAAAAGTTTTATATTTGAATACAATTTATTTAAGCACTGAAAAAATGACAAAACTTAATGTAAAAGCAAATGTTTTGCCACTTTATTCCCATGTAGCATCAATGTTATCCACTACTGGGTTGTTCACAATTTCGACCAGTAAATCCTGCACCACAAAAGCAATAATATGAATTTCCAGTATTGTAACATGTACTACTATTTTGACATGGACGGTCAGCACATGTTTTGTCGTCTAAAAGCAAATTTTAATTATTTGATTTTCATACTGAAGTATTTATCTGATTTAAATCGAATATTAAAAAAAAAACTTGGTCATGTTATTTTTAAGAAATCGTCTTGAGAATATAAGCAAATGATTAAATCGATTTTTCCTCGACAATATTGATAAATATCCATTCTATTGAATAAAGTATATTAATCAAGAGAATTCATTGTGAATTGAATCTTTAGAAAATTCTCAATTCATATATTTTTTTCTCATTTATCAAAGTAAAACATAGTTTATTTTGATAATCATTACTTTTACATGAAAGATGTTTTCAATCGAATCTAATTTGATAGTTTATTGGTTCAAGGTTAAATTAAAGAAAAAATCAAAGGAAAATTTGTTTCTTGTTTAATTTGAAAACTTATTCTTGTCAAATTAATAATTTATGCATCTCGAGAGGATGTTTAATAAATAGATTTCTCATAATAAACCTAATTTTATTGACGAAAATTGTTTGGTTATTTTTAAGTTATGTAGAATGATTCAAAAGAGAATTATTTCTATGTCATCTTTAAACCTATCCATTTTCATTTTTTATCTTAATGAAAAATAACAGGCAAAAGTATGTATTAAGAAATAATATGAGCATACCATTAGGTGTAATTGGTTGTATTGGTCCGCTTGATGAAGTCGTTTGTCCTGCTGGTATTGGTGTTGTAGGCCCTGGTGGAATTTGTGGAGTTGTTTGTGCTAGACTCACGAAGTTAAAAAAAACGAAAAAAATGGCATTTTCGATGATGAAACGGACACAGAACCGTGAATACAGCACTAGAGATACAACGGAGGCGACAACCGATCTAACAGTGAAGTCAGTGAACAAATTAAAAGCCTATGGTAAAGGCCAATGTTTTGTTTAATTTAAACTCCTGTAACATAATAGTGACTAATAATATTGATAAACCAGTCTTTACCGTTGTTAGCTCATATATATATTTAATACGAAAGGAAAATATATATAGAACGAAAGGAATCATAAGTGTCACTGTTGTTGTGTGACAGAACGAAGAAAAATGTGACCTTCGTGGGAATTGAACCCACATCTTCTACTATCCATGCAGTTGTCCTAAGCCAGCTAGACTAGAAGACGCACATTAATCTTCGTTTAGCGTCAATGGGTTATCGGTCTGGACTAGTGATATGGTGATGGTAAACTGGTGATCGATTGTCCCAGTTGCATCCTTACATCGTACACGACACGGTATAAAGGGTGCGAGTGTTAGTCATCGCCTTACTTACACCGATATCAGTCCTATTGAGCACTACATTTTAAAGAAAGTGCATACCGCTAAGCACTATGGAGTTTACCGACTATTGATAAAAATGACGCTTTTTATAAGGATCGCTTTGATCTAGTCTACTGGACTTTTACTTCTACGCAAAATATGAACCTTAAAAGCTTTCAATCATCTCGAGAGCTCGTCCCTCATCAATTAAAAGAACGTGCTAGTATGTGTTTATTTCTAGTTTTTCTGTGTAGATTCCACACGTATGAGTCATTGACTACTATATTTGTTCTATGACACCTTACATTAAAATTGAATCTATCAGTGCAGCTTAGAACAATCGAAGATCATAGTTTTTAAAAGCATAGCTTAACTAGATCACACAGTAAAGCGACAAAATACTCATGATACACATGTTTCCAGTCATAATGCACATTTTATGGATAGTGGCTCTTTATCTTGACATCTCATACATTTAATAGTGACAGTTCTGCTCATGAAATATGACTCAGCTGCCATTCATATTCGGAATCCACTATTGAAATGTATTTCATACTTATCAAAAGTTTCTTTTAATATATCATAAAATTTCGTTGTATCATATGTAATAATTGTGACATTGATACAGAATGCTAACTTTTTGCTACTATTTCGAGAGTTCACATTTTCTCCAAAAAAACCAAAGGCAACTATAAGTTTCGTAGTAATTTTGACACCAGAACGGAATATGCGTTGATTTATCGAGGAAGATTTCCACTTTCTAATGGTCAAATATTATTGAGTTTTATTGTGTATCATTGAGACATTTATATAGGGCGCCATCGTCGGTGGGTCCACAGCAGAATGCGCTGAAGATAACATTTTCTATTGATGTCTCAACGATACACAATGAAACTCAATAATACTTACGCCATTAGATAGAGGAAGTCTTCCTCTGCAAATCTACGCATATCCCGTTCTGGGGCCAAAGCCTGATAGTTGCCATTTGATCGAATAAAATTTGCTTTCGAAAATCCACGCACAAACAATGCGCATCTTGATTAACATTACGTACGTGGTGATGGTCCCACTGGTGTTTCACAATATCTGCCGGTATGTGTTGGCGGGCACTGACAATGCAATGTGCCATTGAAATAACAACTTCCTCCATTTTTGCAGCGACTTTGAAAATATTTGCAGTTTTCTGACGGGGTGAGGGTGGTGGTTGTTACGATGGTAGTGGTTGTTAATTTAATCTGACAACGATAGCCAGTTGTGTCTTGTTTACACACGCATTTCGGCGGAACATTAGGATCAATGTTAGCAATACAAGTACCATTGTTTTCACAGAAAGGTGTAGGGCACTCTTGAGTAGTGCATAATCGAAAAAGAAAGTGAAATTAGGTATATAATAAGTGTAAGGCATGGTAGTGGTTCTCGTTACAGTTCAGCAGTTAAGGGTTTTCCTCAAAATCAGGATATTCTGCGATTTACCTGGGATATCATTCACTCTAACAATTTTTTGTATCGTCCGTCTCTCATAACCCATTTTCTTCTCATGTACAGACTTCAAGAGAAAATCGCTTTTTCTTTCTATAAAAAATATTCATCATAGAATAGGTCCAAGTGGATATCGCTCTGTTCCATCGGTAATCACTATGTCCTATGAGAATTTTCGTTTCATGTGGACGGCTGAAGAAAAAACTATTTGCATTTTGAGAAAGTAAGTAGGCCGATATGGGATTCACTAGTGCCTCTATCGAACAACGCTTAAAGTGACATTTTTTTGTTAATTTAACGAGCTTTTACCACTTTGTCAACTGATCCAGGACCCTGCCCGAAGTGGATAAAGAAAGCTTAATTTCAAGGATGGTTACAAAACTAACAGTAGCTCTCATATTAAACCACCCGTTTGAAATCAGAAATGTTCATGCTTCAAATTTTAAAAAAGAATTTCCGATTCTAACTCTTTTTTTGTAGCTGGTTTTTATATAGGGATCCCATGAATTTTTTATTTGATCAAAAACCCGCAGATCCAAAGTAAACAAATACATACCTAACTCTGTTTCACAAAATTCGCCTACATAATTCGGTGGACATATGCAGTTCAGCTGATTATCGTTGTCTAGGTAGCACACTCCCTTATCTCCACATATTTTACCCAGTGAGTCTGGACACGTGGTATCCCGTGGATTTATTTGTGCACCCTTGTCAAAGTTAGTTCTTGGATTTGCAGCAGGCTTTCGAATATCATCACAACGTTTCCCCATCCATCCAGGCCGGCAATAGCACTTTGGACCATCATCAGCCATTATACAAATACCATTGCTGGCACAGTAGTCCAAGCAGCTTTTTCCTGCAGACGCTGCCTCATTGGAGACGGGGAAAGGCGAAGCATCGACCAGTGAGAGAATGGTCAACATAACGAAGACGTTCAGAGAAAAACAACGTAGTAGATGCATTTTCTGCTCTTAATTTACTCCAACTGCTGATGTAAACTCAGCTCTACACATTGTCGGTAGTGAATATATAGATGTTGAGTTATTTACTCAAGGAGTGATTTCTTGAAACAACAAAAGTCTTAGTTATATATACATAGACATATCTTAGAGATTTACTTTTATTGACTTGCATTGAAATTCGATAGTTCTAATCCGATGCATGATCTCGGAGTATTAGCAATTTATACTAACACCCAACTTTCCAACGATGACCAGCACTAATCTCACTAATAATCATTTTGTATCATTAATACGAAAAATACACGCTCCACAAAGACCATCAAATCTATTCTCGCCACACTAGCAATCACACATGTTCATGACCTATGTTTTGGCGTGGATATGCGCCCTTTCCGAATCACTTTTCTTAAGAAACTTTTTTTCTGAAAATGACAAAACTGCTCAAAAATACAAAAAATAATCGCTCAAAACTTAATGTGGCCGTATTATGTGTCAGCCTCATTCCAGCTATATTCACTAACACCCATATAAATACTCAATTAACTTGTTTGCATGCAATTAAAATATATTTCGTAGTGTAAATTACGGAAAAAAAGTTGTGCGAACTTTTGCAATCGATATATCTCTGCAGCCGCTTAAATAATTGCAAATCATTCATCAGAACAAAAGTGACACATGATCAACATCCCATTCATACCTACTATATTCTTGATTCA